TGCTCCACTACACCCTTTCTTTCCAGAGGTCCAAGGGTTCCATAATAGGGGATTCAGTCCCAGATGACCACCAGTAGAGAAGGCTGCTTGAGGAAGGCCAAGGACAGGACCCCAACCACCAGTAGTGGCTCTTGCTGGTGACTATGCTGGTACCACACATGGGCCCCACTGGATGTGGACCCATCAGCCCAGAACAGGCCACAAAGTCCTGGCCCACCTCCAGGGGAGATGCTTCAGGTGGGAACAGGAGGACCACAGGTTCCCTGAAGGATGCCTGCCCTTGGTGCAGACCTGGGGTACCCCTCTTTCCCCACTGTCTTCTGCAGGGAGGACCTGTGCTCAGCAGGGGTGCAGGAGTGAGTCTAGGGACACCTAGACCACTGAGGCCCTTGTAGTACAGTCTGAATCCCTCTCAGATCCCCCAGGGAAGGGGCCAAATGGGAGCTGGGGAGGATCCCACGTGCAGTGTGGCTCCCGTTCAGTCTGAGAGACTGGGCCAGATCTGAGGATGAGAGGTGGCACAAGAAGGGAGGAAGGAGACAGATGGTCCCAGGGGCTTTTCCAACGGCCAGCGTTGCCACAGCCACCAGGTGCCCAGGAAGAGCTCTGCCTCCCATTGTCGGGCTGGGCTCAATCAAGCTGTTCACAGATGGGGAAACTAAGGCACTGCTTGGTTAAGGGGCTGCTGGTGGTGGTGACACAGAGGCCTCTCCTCCTGGGGGCCCTGCTGGTTCTCCTTCTCCCAGGTGAGAGATTAGGCTCCTGGAGCTGAGGGAGCGTGTGACAGGGAAGCCAAGACGTGCACATGGCCCTGTACTGGGCGTCTACAGAGAATGACGGGGGTACTGTGGAAGAAGCTCAGTGTTGAGCATTTGGGACTATTACTTGGGAGACATAGAGGCAGAAGGAGGGACTCACTGCAGAGGTATAGGGAGCAGGACAGACATCTGTGCCGTGTACTGTGGTCTCCTATGGAGGTTCGGGGGGCTCCCTGGCAGAGGAGGCTCAGAGTTTGGCACTGGGGACTCCATCTTCAAAGTGGGTGTCTCACAGCTGGGTGTGGTGGTGTGTGCCTGTAATCCCTCATTCTCTGCTAGGCCTCCCAGCACTCAGGAGGCTAAGGCAGGAGGATGGAGAGTTCAAGGTCAGCCTGGGTGACATAGCAAGACCTGGTCTCAAAAAAGAAAACCTACAAATCAATCAATAAATATTAATTGAGCTAATGACTTAATCTCAAAAATTAAGACAGCCACCTTCAAACGTGGATTTGGGGAAATACTGAAATGACATACATGAAGCCTCATGCAGTGCCTGGCACACAGGAAGTGCTCCACAATGCCCTTGGATGTGTTCGTTAATTTAAAAATTATTATTTAGGGTGCAACAAACAGGCATTGTGGCCAAGTGACACCTGGCTGAATACTAAAATCAAGATTGCCTAGAGCCAGGCTGGCAGAGTGGCTCAAGTGGTAGAGCACCTGCCTAGCAAGCGTGAGGCCCTGAGTTCAAATCTTAGTGCTGCCAAAAGAAATTTGCCCAAATTCTAATGTTCTCATCTTAGAAGGAGCTTCTGAAATGTACAAACAAGCCAGAACAGGTACTTAAGAGTTACTATTGTCACAATTTTATTACCAGTGTGCTAGCCTCAGATCCTTGAGGTTGATCCTTCAAGGAGGAGCAGTTTCTCTGCTTTTTAGTGGCCAGTTCACTCCTACACTCTACAAGCTCCTATGGCAGTTCTAAGAAATGACTCCAAATTTTTGGATTTCTTCCACCAAAAAGGGAGGTCTCTGTCCCCTGCCCCAGAGTTCAAGCAACTGGGAGACTGTGTTGGTCTACAGAATAGGACAGGATAGGGCAGAAGTGAGCTGGTGTCAAAGTCACTTCTCCCACTGAGAAGTGCAAGTGTCCTGAGGCAACCAGGGTGTAAGGAAGCCCGTCTCTCGGACAGATGATAAGTCGGGAGTCCCAGTGGAGCCCAGCTTTTGAGTCATTCAGTTCAGGCCCCAGATTTGTGAGTAAAGAAATGTTCCAATCCAGACCTTGTGTACCAAGTCACTCCATCCTTCCAGTTTCCTGGCCGAGGACTGGGCATCAGGGAGCAGAGAGGAGCTGTCCCTGTCGCTCCCCTCCCAACTGTCTGAGCCTAATGAAATGGTCATTACTTTACCCCATGACGTTTGGGGCATTTGGTTTGCAGCCATATTGAAGAACAGTGGCTCATTTAATAATTGCATTATTGAATAGCCCTCCTTTTTCTGCAGCACTAAACTCCATCTCCCTACTTACACTGCTATCTGAACCTTCTCAACGATTACTTCTGAATAGAAAATTAATGGCCTTCCCACCCCTTGCTAACAGTGGCGGCATTTCTGTTATAGAAGAGTAATGCCAGCATTGGTGGCCCACGCCTGTAATCCCAGTTACTCAGGAGGTAGAGATCTGGAGGATCATGGTTTGAAGCCAGCCTCAGGCAAATAGTCTGCGAGTCCCTATTTCAAAAATACTCACCACAAAAAAGGACTGGTGGAGTGGCTTGAGTGAGCACCTGCCTGGCAAGAGTGAGGCCCTGGGTTCAAATCCCAGTACCGCCAAAATAAAAAAGAAAAGAAAAGAAAGTAACTACTTAGCTCCCTTTCAGCTTAACTGAGAACAGCCATGTATAAAGATGGGAACTTTCCATCCAAGCTGCGGCCAGAGGCTTCTCTGTATCTGAAACTCAGAGTCACATGCGAACACTGAACAGGGATACCAGACCCCGCTGGTGTGCCTGATGGGGTCACACTCATCCCACACACGCGTGGAGAGGTCCCACACAACAGGCACAGCAATGATGTGGAACTGAGCTTTAATATTTAGCCCGAGGAACCACAAAGCAACCTTGTGATTGTTATTAGAATTTTTCTAGTGTCTTTGTGGCTGCTTGGAGTGGTGGCAAGGTTGGCAGGAGCTGGAGGGGAAACTGAGGCTCACTGACTTCTGGTGTACGAAGAAAACTACTGAATGACTCCGACCTCCTCAACTGCTCCACTTCAACAGAGCAATGATGCCAGCGGGTCCCCTGGTTTTTATTTCCCTCTGGCTGGCTTTTAGTGCCTCACTATGGTTTGCATATGGTGCAACCCCAGAGGATGACATGTTGGAAGATTGGTCCCCAATATGGCAGGATTAAGAAGTGCCTGTAATCCCGGCTACTCAGGAGGATTGAGGTTAAGGCCACCCCTGGGCAAAAAGCATGAGACCCTATCTGAAAAAATAAGGGCTGGGGGGCACAGCTCAGGTCATAAGAGCACCTGCCTAGCAAGAGCAAGGCCCTGACTTCAAACCCCAGTACTGCCAAAAAAAATAAAAATAAAATTTAAAAACGGTGGTAGAGCCTATAAGAGCTCTTGGAGGTCATGGAGGCACTGCCCTTGAAGGGATTAAGCAGCTCTCATAGGACCCTGAGAGACTTTGTTCTTGGAGAAAGACACCCTGGCTCCTCTTTGCACTCTGGCTGGCTGCCTGGCTGTGATCTTCCTTGCCAATGCAGTACCATCTACCACGAGGCTGTTACTGGAGGCTGAATCTATGGGGTTGTCCATTCTTGGATTTCCAGCCCCCCAAAACTATGAGCTAAACAAACCTTTTTTCTTTGCAAAATACCCAGCCTTTGGTATTTTGTTATATCAACAGAAAATGGACAAATATCAGATAGAACCGCAGAATAAGGTCACAATCTTCAGACCCCAGACCCAGCCCCTTCCTCCAGGACACAGTCATATCTGTTCAGAATCCCCAGGGAGGCCATGTTCACTCAGAGACCCCAAACTTCCTAAAACATGGGACTGCTGACAACTACAAAGGAAAATTTACAGTACCTCCACTAATCTCATACATTTCGAACATCAATATCTGAGTCAAATTTCAGAGGCTCCTCCAAACACCGTGGGTGGACAGTGCCACTGCCTGGGCAGTCATCTGGGGACACTGAGTTGGGGACTGTGCGTGGGCTGGGAGGCTAAGGCTGATCAAGCAGTGGCTGACCTCAATCTTGTTTAGGGTTTGAGGATCAGGGGCTGACAGAGCATTTTCCAACTGGGAACTCTCTAGTTCTATTTACCTTTGAGGAAATCTCTTGGGACAGGAAGGTGATGGGTGGTGCATTGTAATTTTTGTCATTTAAATCACGCTTTGAGCAGCTGGTTTGCAGCAACTCTAGGCAGATAGCGCCTTCATAGCTTAGTGCAGGGGCAGCAGTGCCCCCTCGTGGCCATCCAGCCCATCACAAAGAACTGCAGGCGCTAGAGATCAGGGTGAGGGGTTCTTCCCCAGGAAAGCTGAGATCCCAACCCCAGCCCAGATGGAGGAAGGGGCAGGGGTCTTGACACCCTGTCTGCTGCGCAGGGCCTTGTTTTCTCTGTCCTTTTTGCTCACTGGGCGCCATGTCCCTTTTTCTTGAAATGAATCTCCTATACTCAGCTCATAGGGTTCTTGAAGTCCTAGCTCCCAACCCCATGCACGGTGACTTTGATGAGGGATGCCCATGTGCCTCAAACCTGTCCAATGACAGCTGAGTCTTTCTCTCTCTCCTTTTCTTCAATGAGGCTGCAAAGCTAGTTCCATGGCATAGAAACCTGGAATTCATGTAGAGCTGGGGGTACAACTGCCTCTTTGTAGAGGCGGCTGCTCAGAAATGAGACAGACTCACAATAAAGTGGATTTGAGAGTAGCTGGATCCAGCAGTACCTGAAGCCTGTCTGGGTATTTCCATTTCCTGAGCCAGTTGAAATCTTTCCTCTTGAGTCACCAGGAATTGGGGAATCACACTCCCTGCCCGATTTGTGCTAGGCCCTAATTCCTTTTCTCCCTCTCCCCAAAATGTCCTCATTGCTGCTTACATTGGCAGACACAGGGGCCGCATTAATCAAAACCATCTTTATTATTTAAAGAGCATCCTGTCACCTGGGGCACCTAGACAGGAGTCCCCAGAGGGCAGGCAATATTTACATGGGGGCTGGGAGAGTGAGGCTGGGTGGTCCCAGGGCTGAGTGGGCCCGCCACTGTGACAGAGAGGACCTTGGACCTGCGGCCTGGGCTTGAGAGGAAAGGTATTCTGCATGGCTCCTACCGTGGAGCCACCTAGACCAACGTGGGCCTTGGAGGCATGTGCAGTAAGGGGACAGCACTGGTCAGAGCTGGGTCACCATACCACTGGCTTCAGAGTGAGTCTGGGTAAAGACAAGTGAGGGTTTCCAAGGTCAGAACCCGTCCCCACCACCACCAAAAAAAAAAATCCCACAACTGCTGTTTCCTCCCAGAAGCCCGGGCACATCCTCTTCCTCCCACCTGGGCCTGACTTACCTTTATGGCCTGGAAGATCCACTCTCGGAAGTCACCAACTTTGGTGTAGACGCCTGGCTTCTGGGCCAAGGCACAGCCAGTGCCCCAGCTCACGATGCCACACACCCGCCAGCGTGACGTCCGAGAGATGCTGTCCTCACACACGAAGGGACCGCCACTGTCGCCCTGGTGGGGAGGGGAAACCTGGCTGGAGGCCAAGATGGCAGCCAGGAGCCCTGCCACCCACTGCTCTGGTCTCCATCCCCTGTGTGGCAGTCCAGCCCCACGCAGTCCCTCACCTGGCAGGCGTCAATGCCACCCTCAGGGTAGCCGGCACAGAACATCTTGGGCTTGATCTGGTTCCCATAGAAGTCGGGGCCATTGCAGACATCATTGCTGATTATGGGGACTCGGGCCTCCTGGAGCACCCCAGCCTGCTGGCCTGGGGGTGTGCGGGCACAGATGGCCGGGGCTGAGGAGCAGGAGCGTCCCCTTCCCTCCTGGTGCCCACCCCACACCCTGCAGGGTCCCTACACCTTAGGGTCAAGAGCCTTCGCTTCCCCAGCGCAGCTCATGGTGGCCGCAAAGGACTCACCATAGTACTGTGTGTTACCCCAGCCGGTCACGCTACAGATCTTGCCCTCCACCAGGGCCTGGCCAGCAGCAGGGAGACACACGGGCTGGATGTACTCTGTGAGAGAGATCACACCTGGTCCAGACCCTCCTGGCCTGTTCCTCCTGTCTTGCCCTGTTGCCACCACTGCCCCAGCACCCCTTTCTCTCCTCTATCCTTCTGAGGCAGGACAGATCAGGGAAAATGAGGCACAGGAAACAGCAGCCAGGCTCCAGAGGTAAACACTGTAATGAGTAGCTTGGTTCAAAGCACACAGGCTCTACTTCCTTTGCTGTAAGCTCCATCCTCCGTCACTGAGTTGCAGCATAGAGCAAAAAAAGTAGCTCTCTTACTCCAACCTCACCATGGACCCAAAGGACCACTGCACTCTGGAAACTGAGCAAGGGTATCTTCAAGAAGAACGCTGATCCTGGGAACATCTGGCAAAGTGACTCCTTTGATCACAGAAGCATTTGCAAAGAAGTCACAAATTATCTTAAGGCAGGACCTGGCTCTAAAGGGGCATCTGATGAGACCCATCCTTTGTTTAAAGGGACACTCAAGGAAAACATCGGTGTCACATTTGCTATCTTTGGGATCAACTGAGAATGTCAAAACAGTGTAGCAGCAAGAATGATTGTCCAGAAGAAGGGGGAGCACTTATCCTAAGATGACTTTAAGCCAACCCCAAACCCACTTCTTCCCCATAAATACCCGGATGTTAGAGCACTCTGTGTGTCTCCTGTTCGATGAGCCCACACCCAGGTCTGGGGGTATACTTTCCTTTCCGTCACTTTGCTTTACTAATATACGTTCTTGGTCTCTACCTCAATGTGTCCTAAAATTTGTTTTTTGCGACAACATCATAAACCTGGTACCCAAGGGCCAGGCAGAGGCCTCCTCCGTTTTGGAGACCTCCCTAGAGCCTCACTGGTTCTATAACCATCACAATAGAACTTCCATCTACTGAGAGTTCCCAATGGACCAGGCACTTTCCTGAATCTTTCCCTTCTGCTTCCCATCCACTCAGGGAAGTAGGGCCCACTGTCATCCCGTCCTACAGAAGAGGCAAATGAGGCAAGTCACTTGTCCGTTTCCTAAGGAGTCAAGGGCACTGCCAGAAATTGAACCTAGGTTGACTCAATTTTCCAAGCCTGTGTTTTCAGCAACTGCAGAGGGTTACCCTCAGCCCCAAAGGTGAGAAACAGAAAGAGACACCCCTATCTTGAAACACTTGATTTCCACCTGTCATAATAATCAGCATGCAGGTTGACACTGACAACAGCACCCCTGGGGTGTGGTCCCTTGTGCAGTGCACAACCTGTACAAGTGGTCCTGGCAGCCCTGACTGTTGTCTGCACCTGCCTGGACCTCAGCGCTCTTGGCTGTAAAATGGAAACGATAATGATTTCTCCACAGAGGGTGTGGTGAAGAATTGATGAAACGTGGCTCGCAGGCCCAGAAAACAGGAAGTATTCACGTGACTCGTGCATAATGTCCACAGCAGCGGTGACAGCTAATATTTCCTGACTGCTCCCTATGTGCTGGTTTTCTCTAAACTCTACATGGATTAAACCTTTTAACCATCTCAACAACCCGAGGAAGTCATTGTACAGATGAGGAAACTGAGGCACAATATGGTAAAGCCACAGCCCAAGATCATACAGCTGACAAACACCTGGCTCTGCCCCAAAGCCTGTCACCTGCTCAGTCATGTACCTCAAACCCTAGCCGCTCCCACCAGGCCACTGTGTCCTCAATGGCATTGCCTTATCTCAATGTTTTTAACTCCTCACTCACACTGGCACCTGAGTTCCTCCAGGAACTCAGAAGGGAAAATCTCCAAACTTTCTCCATATTTTTAAATTTTGCTTTTTTTTGGTGGAGGGGTGGGCACTGGGGTTTTACACTCAGGGCCTTTTCCTTGCTTGGCAGGTGCTTTGTCACTTGAGCCACTCCACCAGCCTGGGTAACAGCTCTTTATCGAGTAATAGTCATACAGCTTTATTGAGTTATAACTCATATGCCATGCAATTCACCCACTTAAAGTGCACTGCAGTGTGCAGTTGGTGGTTTTTTGTGTATTTAGAGAAATGTGCGGTGATCCTCACTATCCATCTACAACCCTCGTCACCCCAAAGGAAACCTTGTGTCCTTTATCAGCCAATCACCTCTCACCCTGGCAACCACTAATCCTACAGATTTCCCTACTGGGGACATTTCATATCAATGGAGTCATTCACCATGTGGCCTTTGGCACTGGCTTTTTCACGTGGGATAAAGATCTGAAGGTTCATCCATGTTGTATCATAAATCAGTACTTTTATCCTTTTTATGGCCAAATGTCAGTCCATTTTGTCCATTTATCAGGTGATAAACGCATTAAGGTTGTTCCTATCTTTTGGCTACTATGAATAATGTCATCAAGTGTTGCTATATTACATATTGTGTTATGTAATACCTAAGTCACATATTTTACAATATTATACATGAAATACTGTTAATAGTTCTTGTATAATATTGCTAATATTAAAGCTTGCTGTGCAAGGTGTCGTGAGAGCCTGTTTCGTTTCTCTTGGGTTTACACCCAGAAGTGTAATTGTTCAGACAATGATGAACCTTCACTTTTTCAGGACCTGCCAGAGTTTTCCAAAGTGGCTGCACCCACTATTTGTAGTAGGGTTCGTGGAGTGGCTCAAGCCACTCCAAGCGTGAAGCTCTGAGTTCAAACCCCAATGCAACCAAAAAACCTTGAAAACAAACAAACAAAATCCCCTCACACTATTCGGGGTTAATGCTCTTATCACTACAGATACCTGAACGATCAATTTATTCCGCCCTGCCCTGGCCCTTCCTTCACCCTGTCTGTCTCTGGAGCCCCTGAGCTGAGGCAGACCTACCCGTGAGGGGCAGTGGGCTGGAGAGATGGACCAGGGCGATATCATTGCTGTTCTCCTCGCTGTTGGGGTCTCGAAAAGGAAGGTAGCCCCCATGGTAGATCACAGCCTGCACCCCCAGCTGCATGCCGTGGGGCGAGGTCTGGGCCACAGCACCAGCAAACACTCGCCATCGGGATAGGACCCGGTTCCGTCTGCGGGGGGAGCAGGAGGTAAGGGTGGTGGCCTGCCTGGGCACAGCCCTGCCTCCCCCACGGGGTGCCATGGTGGAGGAGTGGGGCACTCACTCTGGGAAGCAGTGAGCAGCTGTCAGCACCCAGTCCCCGGAGAGCAGGGACCCCCCACAAAGGTGTGCTCCGTCATAGCGCAGACTGACTTGCCACGGCCATCTGCCCAGGCTGGTGTCCTGACCTCCCACGATACGGTCCACAGGCAGCTTCCGGCGGCCACAGTCTGTGGGAGAGACGCAGGGGACGGTCAGGGCAGCGGGACCCAGGCTCCTAGGGCATGGATCTGGCCCTAAGACATCTGAGAGGACATGGGACACCCCAGGGAGTCTGGTGGGTCCTGGACCTGTCTGGGGGTCTGCGGAGACAGAGCCATGCCTTGGGCTGTTTGAGGGACATGACCCCACCTGGGCAGTTTGGAGGGAAACCGTCCTACAGTAAAGGACAAGGCCCAGCCTGAACACCCGTGATTGCAGTTTGAGGAACACAGTCCTACCCTGGGAAATGTGAGGGACATCACCCTCTGGCCCCACTCTGGGCAGTTTGGGGATACAGCCCTGCCCTGGGAAGAGCCTGGGGACCACAGTCCACCCCGCCCTGTGTTTAAGGGTGAGGGCTCTGAGTTCCAGGTCTCACCTTGGCAGATGGTGGTGAGGAAGCGGCCCCGAGGACAGTCACTGAGAGGGGGACAAGATGGAGACAGAGAAACAAGAGAGGCCAATGAAGATGAGCAGGCAAGCAGTGCCTGGCCCGCCCGCCCTCCTGCCCACGTCCTCACCACACAGAGATGACATCCAGCAGCCTCCTGGCGTGGGGCAGCCTGCCCTCATCCACACAGAAGAAGCCTGACGTGCCATTGGCGCCCGCCGTCCGGACGTCCAGCTCCGCGTGTGCCAGAGCCCTGGGCAGGGCAGGGGTCAGCCCTGCTCCGCCTGCTGCCCGCTCCCACCCTCCCGGGTGCCCACTACCTGAGGAAGCCCATCTCCTCGCAGCTGAGGCCCGCCACCCTGGCGTTGGAGCGCGAGGAGCACAGCAGTCGCCATATCCCTTCCGTTTTGTCCAGCACGGCCAGCCGCGCATCCACAGGGCTGACCTGCACTGCAGGGCGACAGTGGGCGCCTGGGTCCTGGGCCAGGCTCCTGACCCGCTCCCACCCTGTCTGTGTGTGGCCATGTGACTCTAGCCTGTGCCCTGCTGGGGTCACTGGGGGGCCTCCAGTCCTATGCGTGCTGGTGGCATCTGGAAAGGCCACCAGGTCACAGCATGGGCAGGACTTCTCCTCCCACTGGATTCTTGCACCGGATGCTGAAAGAGGGAAGTCATTTCTACCAAGTGCCCAAGGGAACAGCATGGCAGACTGGATCCCCCCATAGGGAAAGATAAGCTAACACGGAAAGAATGCGACAAATTCTGATGCAGCCAGGGTTGAGAAAGCCCCGGAATTAGGTAAGTTAGTAATTTTCCCTTTGTTTAGTTAATTCCTTTAGTTTTTCCTTGTCATTTGCAGCCTGAACACCCTTGATTGTAAAATGTTTAAATAAATATCCCATGGTCTTTAAAAAAAAAAAAAAAGCAGCAGCAGCCATGTGTGGTGTTGCATGCCTGTAATCCCAATATTCCAGAGGCTGAGGCAAGAGGATCTTGAGTTCAAGGCCTTCCTGGGCTACATAGAGAGTGTGAGACCTGCCTGGGCAATCTAGGGAGACCCTGTCTCAAAAACAAAAAGAAAAAAGTGAAATGAATGGCATCTGTTTGTTCCTGCAGGACCTGTCAGTCATGAATGCTGATGTACACAATTCTCCAAGCAGATGGTGTGATATTCAGTCACTCAACAAGCATTAACTGGACACACACTTGAGCAAATCAACCCTGGGCTGGGTCGGTGGCGGGGGGTGGGGGGGAATGTTGAGGGAGACAGACAACAATTAAAAAGTCACCCACCAACACACCATTAGAAACTGTGATAAAAGCTTAGAATCCTGGTACTCAGGAGGCTGAGGCAGGAGGATCATGAGTTCGAGGCCAGCCTGGATTATATAGTGAGACCCTGTCTCAAAACACTGAGAGGGAGTAAAGGAGCGGGGAGGAGAGGAGAGGGGAGGAACAGGGATGATGAAGATCCTTTGTTTCGGGGCTAGCAGTGGGGCAGTGGGTGTGGGGGGAGATTGGGTGCAGTTTGTGTGGAGGGCTGACTCCCTGTGGCCCTTAGTCTGCCTCACACGCCATCGGAGGAACCTGTGATCACTCACATCAGGTCAAGCCCCTCAGGTGCATTTCTTTGTATTTACCAAACTCTTTGTGGCACACCAGGCTCTATTTTAGGGACCGAGCAAATCTCCAGAGCTGTGAACAAAACCAGACAAAAGACTTGCCCGTGTTGAGCTCAAAGCCCAAGCCCGGCAGGGGAGATGGACAGCGAGTGTGACAAAGAACAAAAATGTGTCATGTGTCACAACAGAAGTGGCCGTGGAGACAAATGAGGCTTGAGGCTCGGCAGAAGGGAGGAGGGTGGTATGGGGGTGAGGTGGCACTTTTCAGGAGGTGGGCAGGGAAGGCTATGCCGACAGTGTCACAAGAGCAAAGAAGAGAATGAGTCCCAGAGAAGTGAGAAAGAGATGCGAGGGACTGGTGACCGCAACATGGGCCAAAGGGACAGCAAGCCGGGAGACCGAGGCTGGAGCAGAGTCTGTGAAGGGAAAGGCGGGGGACTTGGCTTTCTGCTGGAGCAAGGTGCAGCCGGGCAGGGCCCAGACCTGACTCCAGAGAGCACAGGCCGCCTCTGGCTGCAGCGGGGAGCCGACTGTGAGGCAGACACTGGAGGAGGAGGAGAGGCCACTGCAACACCCATGCCGAAGAGGATGGAGGCTGGCCAGGGTGGGCAGTGCAGGGGACAAGAGTTGGATTCTGGATAGGTTTTGTAGGTGGAACCACCAGGGTCTGCTGAGACCGGCTTGACAAATGGATGTGAAGGAGGGTGAGGCCAAGGCCAGGGTGTCTGGCCCGAGCCCTGGAAGAAGAGGCTGCCATTGACCATGATGGGGAAAGCAGGGAAGAGGAGGCTTGGGGACAGACCAGCTGCCAGCCCTACTGTTCTCTCTCTCCCCTCTACCTCAGCCTCTGCTCTGAGGACCTATTCTGGGAACTAAGTCTGGTGACAACTTGCTCTTGTATCCCCTCAGGAGGAAACTGTGAGGCCACATCCAAGCTGAGCTGTCTTTAGCAACCCCTCAGGTTTGGACCAGAACAGGCAGGACTTCGAAGGAGCACACTGTGCCATGTACTCTCCCTACTCCACCATCTACCAAGGCCTAGCCCTATCTCCCACCCAAAGTGGCAGAGATCACCCCCATTTTTCAGATGGGGGTGACTTGCCTAGCATCACCAATTAAGTGGAGCAGAGAGAGGATTTGAATCAGGCCATGACTGAACCCTACGAACCATTCCTATGCCTATCTCAGATGGGGGATCTGAGCCGCAAAGCAATATACTTGCTCAGGTACACGGCTAACACGGCAAATCAGGATTTGAACACAGACCCACCAATTTTACATTTGCTACTACTTATTTGGGTCTCACATCCAACCCTTGCCCATTCCACAGCAGGACTAAAGGCTGCCTGACTGGCTTGCCTTAATTATGCCCTCCTGCTATGGGTGGGGCAGGGGGTACCCAGTACCTGCTGCACTAGGTGATTCCCAGCACCCCTGAACTTCAAGACCAAGGCAGGGTTTGAAACAGCAACTTGGAGTTGAGTGATGTAGTCTTACTTAAAAATGGCTTCTAATTGCTCCAAAATTTTCTAGCAAATGTGGGGTTTTAGGGAAAAAAAATACTTTATGGGTGTGTGTTGGGAGAGGTATAGGAAGTGGGGAAGGAGAAAGGAGCATCAAATGCCTCCCCCCAACATTTTTTGGGGGGCCAGGGTCTTGGTATATAGCCCAGACAGGCCTCAAACTCGTGATCCTCCTGCCTCAGCCTCCCTAGTGCTAGGATTACAGGCGTGCACCACCACGCCTGACTCTCCGATTATTTTCAAAGCCACTGTTTCTCAGTTTTCAATTCCTTATTCTTGTCTATATTATTTTAAGCAATGCAAAAAGTATGTTCTCAATCACCTGGTGTGCTTACCAAATTGTCTGATATACTTAGAGCTGTGAAGATCCAAAAAAAAATAAAAAACAAGGTGGGGATACAGTTGGGGGTCATTTTCACTTATTTATCATAACTCCCCAGTGTTCTGGAAACGCCCAAGGAAAACAGGACAAGTGTGCTGGTGCTGGCCAGAGTTGGGGCTGTGTCAGATAAGGTGGTTCATCTCAGTGATTTGTCCTCACACTTCTTCATTAAACAAAGATCCCGAGTGCCTACTATGTGCTGGGCACTGCCTGACCAATATATAAAATGGCCCGCCTTCCTGGAATGCACGCAGTCAGTGATTAACCATGAGTGTGAGGAGGTTTCACTAGGCACAGCAGGGACGGTCATGGGTGAAGGGACATGTGGCCGGGGTTCACAGGCTTTGCTCAGGAGCTGAAACCGAAGACAGGAATAAATGCCAGTGCTGATAGAGGTGGCTAAGAGCCCAGCACTGTGTGGATAACCGGGACAATCATCTCCTCTCATTCCCTCTTGGTTCCGCTCGCCCTGTCTCCCGGATGAGGGAACTGAGGCTCCAAGCAGGTCAGGCTGGTGTGAGGGCCACAGCTCAGAGACGTGCAGGGTGGGAAACGGTGTTCACGTGGGAGACGGTGAATCATGACTTGAGTGCAAGTGCGAGAGGAGGGAGGGGAGGCCTACAAGCTGGACCCCAGGAGAGCTGGGGTGGACAGAGGCTCCATCCCAGGAGGCTGGCAGAGACGAGGACTTCTTTCCCCGATGATGCCGTGGGGGGGGGGTGTCAGGGGCTTTGTACAAGGGCCTGATCTCCATGTGCAGCCACTTCTCTGCTGTGTGGCCCGGACAGGTCAGTTCACCGTACGAGGCCTCAGTTTCCCCCCCATATGCAAAATATTGGGATAACAATAGCTCCAACTCCACCAGCCTGTTGTGAAAATGCTGCAGCCAGGCCTGCAGTCCGTCATCAGCCTATGGTGATGAAGTAAGTGGTTTCTTGCCAAACAATAGTTTAGGAATTTCCTGTAACTGCCACCTGGGCGCATGTTCCACCCTGCCCCTGCCCTGCCACTTATGAGCTCTGTAACTTGGGGCAAGTCCTTGGCGATCCCTCTTGCTTCCCTCCTTTTCCTCCTCCATTCCTGCTTGCCCTCCTTCCTCTCTCCCTACCTCCTTTCCTCCTCCCTGTTTCCTTCCTTCTTTCCGTCCTGGACAAGGTCTTGCTATGCAGCCCAGGCTGGCCTTGAATTCACAATCCTCCTGCCTCAGCCTTCTGAAAGCTGGAATTACAGGCATGCTCCACCATGCCCAGCTACTTGACTTTTCCCGTGCCTCAGTCTCCCCACATGGAAATGGGCTGATGTGTGGAATGAACTGAAGCCTGGGCCTGGCACATGGAAATGCTCCTAACTGCTAGCTACAGTGGTTAATGGTGATGCTGACTTTTCCATTTCTTCTCTAGTATGAGCTGAATCCTTTCTGGAATTAGAGGAAGATCCCCTTTTCTTTTTGCTATCCTGGGTTACAGAATGACGGTCTGGGGGTTGCCATCTGGAAGACTCACGTACCAATCCCACAGTCTGTGTCTATTATTTGTGGGGCCATTCATCCCACGAGCCTGTAAGTCTAAGAGCTGCTCCTGGCTGCATCATTCATCAGCTGCGTGCCCTCTGTTCCTCCTCGGAGAGCTAGAAGGGCCCACTAAATTCACACTGTGCCTCCGAAACACGTTTTGTTTTTTTTTTTGGCACTACTGGGGTTTGAACTCAGGGCCTCACTCTTGTCAGGCAGGTGCTCTACCACTTAAGCCACTCCACCAGCCCTGTTTTGCGTTGAGTACTTTTGAGATAGGGTGTCATGATCTATTTGCCCAGGCTGGCCTTGAACCATGATCCTCCTGATCACTGCCTCCCAACCTGGCTCCAAAACTTTTTTCTTACTGGGAGAGATGACTCTGATATTTTCTAATCTAACCTACTTTTTAAAAAATGGAGTTTTCACCTCCTTAACTTAATTTCCTGGTGCACTCATGGGTGACCCACCCGGATCCTGGCTTACTGGGCTGGACACAGGAGCTGGCACACGCAGACAAGTAAAGCACAGAGCTAGTGTGATTGGTGGGGCCGTGCGCTAGGCTAACTAGAGAGACTTTTATTCCACCCCCTTATGTGCAAGTTTCCTCCAGGGTGCCCCCAAGGCTCCAACCTGCTCTACTCACCCGGGTACAGCGGCTCCTGGTCACTCCTGAGAAGGACGGTCACTGCAGAGAAGGTGGAGGTGAGGGGGGGCAGGCTAGGGCCACAGTGCAGGGGAGGGAGAGGAGGTTATAGGATGCTCTCACCAATGGCCCAGGACGCTGCTCCAATGCCTGTCAGCAGCAGCAGGATCCCCACAGTGAGAGCTGCCACCTTGGGTCTGGAGCAGCATGGCACAGTCCGGCCACCTGCAAGAGAGACCATGCTGGGGCCACTGCCAGGCCTGTCCTCATTGCTGCAGGGTCTGGGCACTGCGCCAGCACTGCCCTGCCCCCCAGGGCTAACTTATCATGTCTGCACCTGCCAGGCCCTGGGCCGTTTCCTGGGTCTGAGTAGTTCTGAGTAGTTGGCGGGCTGTCCGTCTCCTGCCATGTGGACAACCAGGTGTCCCACTGGGAAGGGGGCATGGCTGGGCTGGCTGCCGTGTGCCTGCTGCCACCCTGGCACCTCCTCCCCAGTGACGCTCACTTCTGTATCTCTCATTACTCTGTGCCACCCGCTCTTGGACCTGTACTTTTCCAGAGGTTCCTGGAGCTTCTTGGGGCCTGGTGACCCCTGACCTTTACCCTCTGGTAGCTCTCTTGGTATTGCCTCACTGCCTTGTTTCTGCTGTTCTAGATTCTTTGTGCCTGGGCAGACCCAGTTCTGAGATCAAATTTGTTCCCTGGAGGTTCATGACCCAAGTTTGGAAACTGACAACATGGCTTTAAAATACCAGCTGTTCTCCCTTCTGGCTGGGATTCTGGGTAGGTGACATCACCTGTTTGAGCCTTGGCTTCCTCACCTAGCACCACATCTGAAAGGACACTTTGCAATTCTGTAGATAGCCATAGCCAAACTTACTGATGCTTATGACGTGCCAAACATTGCTCCAAATGCATGCAGGATTCAGTCCTACCTCAGGTTTCCATATTTCCAAGGACTCAGAGAAGCGGTGTCACGTGCCCGCTGTGACTCAGCCTGGAGGAGGCAGAGCTGAGCCCTGAACCCTGGGAAGATCTGGTGCCAGGTCCAAAGTCTATAACAGCGAAGCCATGCCACCCCTCCCTGGCACTGTGAGAGCAAGTTCTCAATAAATCTTTATAAACTCTTAGAGCTGTGTGGGCCGGCACAACTCCCTTTACCTCCTGAGCCTTGGTGTTTGTATCAGTAAAATGAAGCTTTATTTCTTTCCTGTTTATTGAGCATCATCTGGATCCCTGGCACTATTCTAGCCCTGGGAGCAGACCCCAAAACAAGAGGACGACTCTTGTGGGCTCCCATTCCCACATGTGTGATGGGAGCAGGGGACATTCAGAGTAAACAATGAGCCTGATAATTTGGCAAAGGCTACAAAGAAAATAACGTAGGCTGGGATAGCAGAGGTTAGAAGCAGAGGTGGAGACTTTGGAGTTAAAACCTGAATGCAAAGACATGGAGGAAAAGCACTGTGGCAAAAGCCAGGAGGCAAGAGTGAGCTGTTAGAGAGCTGTGAGGGCCAGGGTGTCTGCTGGGAACCCAAGGTGGCCTGATGGCCCCAGGAGCAGAGGAATTTTTATTACCAGTGCAACAGAGGTCCTGGAGATTAAGTGCTAAGCCCTCTGCTAGGAATTGTGGGAAGACCAAAGGGAAAGGCTGTTAAAAGCCTTCTGCTAACCCTGGCTTGGGCTCCCCTGCTGCAAAGTTCTCCTAGAGCTGCAGGAGCACTAGCTTTCTCGTCTGTGTCCAGGATAGTTGTGGCTGGTGGGCACAGGGCCAGGCCAGCACCCAGAACAGAGCAGGGAGTGGTCTAGGACCTTCCTGGGACAGTCATTGTTTGGGTGGCTTAAGACAATGAGTGAACCCTGCACTGGTGGCTCACGCCTGAAATCCTAGCTACTTAGGAGGCAGAGACCAGGCGGATCATAGTTTGAAGCCAGCCTGGGCAAATAGTTTATGAGACCCTACCTCAAAAAAAATCCCCTCACAGAAAAGGGCTGGTGGAGTGGCTCAAGGTGTGCACCCTGAGTTCGAATCCCAGTACCGCAAAAAGAAAACAAACAAACAAAACAAAAAATCCACGTCATCCCTCAAAGAGGCTAGGCCAGCCCCAGCCCTGCTGGTTGACTCCTGCCTGCCTGGCTGGGGTCTCTCAGCCCACTCCTCTAACTCTGCCCCTGACTACTTCCTGGTGAGGAGTCTTGGCTTCCTGCAGCCATCAGCCCACCTGACTTATCTTTAGATGTGTCTTCCAGACCTCTGGGCTACACGGGAGCCAGCCCAGAGGCTCTGGTGTACCTGCAGGGACAGGAAGCAAGGCTACCCCAAACCTCCTGGGGTGACAGGGATGAATCTCCTTCCATGCTCTTTGTCTCAGAGGACTTCTAACACCTCCCCCAGGTGCCTCCGGTGGGACAGGATTTGGGGACTGGGTCCCCTGATGGGAGAGGCATCCTCTGTCCTCGTTCTGGATAACCTCCTGAGCAGTGGGATGTGACTGTCCCTGGGACTTTGCACTGCCCCGCTCCCCACTTCTCCCTCGGCTCTGCTCCGTCTCTCTGAGCCCCTCCCAGTTGCTCTACATCTTCTCCCAGGACATTTCTGTCACTCACAGGTGACATTGTCTCTCAAAATCCACTTAGCTGACAGTTCTGTGTCCTGGCCCAGCTTCCTGCAGGAGGTTGTCACTTCTGTTGACTCTGAGCCTCTGCAGGCTGGCCTGGCTCTGCCTTCTGACTCTGCCCACCCTGAAATCTAAGTTCCCAGAGGGGCTGAGGTACCCTTCCCACACTCCCACTCTGTTTCACCTGCCTGTGCGGCCTCAGGTCCTCTGTCCCCAGCCCCAGACTCCCTTCTGGGTTCCACACTGGGGTCCTGCAGCTTCTTAAGATGCCTTTCCTTGGAACCCCCTGGGGTCCTTCACACCACCAGGTCCTACAATGGCCTCAGTGTCTCCCCAAATCTGTCCGTGCTTGCAGGACCTTGTTCCCAGGACTGTCCCTCAACTTGCAGGATGTCCCCCCCCCACCAGTCTGCCAGTTACCCCGCCTGCCAGGGCTCCTATGTGGCTTCCTGGCTACCTCTCTCCCTTCTCCCTACCCCATTCAACCACTAGGGTTTTTCTCTCTTTCTGCTCCCCTTCGCATGGAAGCCTGGGAAAGCTCCCTAAATGCCAAATCCAACCAGTCCTTTCTTTACCTAGAACCCTCCATGACTCCTCAGTGCCCCCAGGACAGAGTCTGAGGCCCTCAGCTGGCATTTCCAGCCCTCGTCGGAATAAGCATGGCTTTTACAGATTTGAGGCTTGACATCTTTCCTCAAATCCCCAGACAGCTGTGTGGGTCATTATCAGACACTTAATAGAGCTTCAAAAGGGCAACCCAGACCACAGACTTGTAAACTACTAGTTAGAAGCTGGTGGTGGCAGTGCACGCCTGTAATCTCAGCACTCGGGAGGCTGAGGCAAGACGATTGAGAGTTTAAGGCCAGCGTGGGTTACTACATAGTGAGTTCCAAGCTAGCCTCAGCTACATAGCAAGACCCTGTCTCTAAACAAAAACACAACAAAAACAGGAGAGAAAGGAAGAATAACCAAGCAAACCAGTGCCATCTTGTGGAGAGACCCTGCATTGCCAGGGATGGCCCTCTCTCCACCCTGACCACCACCATCACCACCAGTCAGAGGCTGGTCCAGCTTCCCTGTCATCTCCCTCCAACTCCATCTCTGGCTTCACCTCCAGATGTACCAGCACTCACACAGGCAGTATGCCAGCCCCGCTTCCAGCCATGCCCTTTCGGCTGCCTGGCACCTGCTGCCTACTCTCTGCTCGCACTTTGAGTTGCAACTTGGAGATCTCCCCAGCAGCTCGGGGAGGGGGGCCTCGGGCACATTGCCACAGCAATAATAGAACCACAAATGCCAGCAGCTGCTACCACGGCCACGGCCATCAGGATCTCTCACTGCTCTTAGCCCTGTCCTGTTCCACATGTTCCTTAAATCCTCGCCACTGTTAATAAGGAGCTGCCGTTATTCTGTTTACAGATGAGGAAAGGAGGTCCAGAGGGGTGCAGCCACCAGCAGCTCCCCAAGAGTGGCCGAGCTGCCTGGGAGCGCCCTGGAGCCACCTCTGCACCTTCTCTTGGAACCATCTCTCCATCTGCATTCATTTTTTGCCCTCCTTCCCTGGATCAGGTCCTGTGCTCCCTTTCCATCAGCCCCAGGAATGAAACTGCCCCAAAGGAGCCAGGCTCTGTCATCCACCTGCTCAGCCTGGGTGCAGTAGCTTCTTCTGAGTGGCGGGGAGCCTGAGTTCACCCTGGACCCCAGTTATATGGTCTGGAATCTGATTTGCTAACTGTGCCAAGACTGAGACCCAAGGAGGCCAGAGAGGTGAATTAATCATTTTGGCCCACTCGGTGCTTCTGGCCAGTACTGCCTTTAAATCCTCACCCCGCCCTATAAGGTATGCACTGTTACCATCTCTGTTTTACAGAGGAAACGCAGGCTCAGAGAGGGTAAGCTGTGTGCCCAGGATCACACAGATTGAAAGTGGGAGTGCCTTCAAAAGCTGCTTGCCTGGGGCTCAACCCAGCTAGCCGGATTCCAAGAAGAAAGGGAGTCAGCCCCAGCTGGGGGTGGTGGGGGAGGGAAGGAAGAATGACTGCCTCTGATTGGGTCCCTCCAGCAGGTCCCCAAGTGTGGAAGAGGTAGAGAGGAAGGCGGGGCCATCTGGAGTCCACTCCAGGGATTGCCGAGAAATCTTGAGTGCCAGCCACTCCACTGGGTAGCTTCTCTCCGTCATCCCTAGATGGCTTCTCTGCTCTCTCCTCTCTCTATCCATCTCAGCCAAGTTCAAAGTCCTCCCTCTGCCCTTTTGCCTGCAGGGCCTGGAGGTGTCTGGAATCAGGGTTCCTAGGTCCTTGGGACCCCATCATGACAGCTCTGCATTATGACGCCTATCTTATATCCTGAGCCCCGTGCTGGTGCGTTATCTGCCCATGCTGTCAACAACCTCACAAAGGGATCCACACTTGACTCTGGGGGAAACTGAAGTTCCGAGACATGATGTCACTTGCAAAAGATCACACAGCAAAGAGCAACAGGAGTCAACCCAAGGGCAAGCCTGTGTGCTGACTGTGGAATCTTATTCTTAACCCATGGCAGCTCTACCAGTGTCCCCACCTCAACCCCAAGCAGAGAACACATCCAGGGTTAGCTGAGAAATCACTGGGGCATGAGGGGAAACTGAGGCAAGGTGCCAGGAAGGTCATACTTGGTAGCGGGGAGGTACAGCCCCACAAAAAAATCTGGTTAATAGTTAATCAGGTAGAAAGGCCTCAAAAGGGGATAGGGATGGGTCTGGGAGGGGCGCCCACACAGGGGGCTCCTGGGAGTAGAGAGCTGGGAAGGCAGCACCGGGGAGGGGCGCCAGGCAGAGCTGAAGTCTAGGCTCGGGGACGGGTCAGGGGACTCACCCTCCTTCTCCTCCATGTCCCGGACTCTTGTTAATGATTCCCCGGCTGACCTCCTGGGCCGGGGCGGGCCCTGCGGGGAGATGAATAGGGAGGCACGCCTGGGGGAGCCTGGCCCAGCCTGTCCTGCTGCCCCCCAGTCCCAGGCGCCCATCCAGGTTGCTTGAGGGACTGGGCCCTGGCCAGAGCATGCCATGGTCACGGACGCAGATTGCGCTGGGTTCAAGGATAGGGTCAGTGTCTGACCAGCGGCCATGGGGACACCTGGATATGTAGGACTGAGGACCCCCTTGGCTGAGCCTTGGGAGGAGGGGCCTGAGGATAAGAATTCTCAACTCCTGGGGCAGGAGGGATCTGGGGGCCAGGACTCCTGGGTTTGAGGGAGGAGAAAACAGGGCGCCCGAGCGAACTCAGTCTGAAGAGACAGCAGCTGGAGCTCCCAGGTGCTTGGGGACAAGTCAGAGTCCACTCTTGGAGCCCCTGGGAGTCTCTGTATTGGGAGGTTGGCATCAGGTGGAGAAGGAGGTGAGGGCACTAGTGTCCTCAGGACTGGAACTGTGATTCTGGGGGCCCTGGGCCTTACCCTGGGGTCCGCCGGAGATGGTGTGGGTTTGGGGTCAGTCTCCAGGCCTGGGCAGGAGCATGGTGGCCCCACAGCAGCGGGTGGCCCAGGAGGCAGAGGAGGCAGCAGCGTGGGGCCTGCTAGGCCAGGCGGCCTCACCTGAGGAGGAGGGGGCTGGGCGGGAGGCGGGGGAAGGGGCGGGAAGGGGCTGGACCACGGGATTGGCAGCACCAGAGGCCACCTGGCTGGTTGGGCTGGGCCTGCAGGGGCTGGACCAGACAGGCGAGCCACCAGCCTGGTCTCCCGCCTTCAGCGGGACTCAGGTGTGCCAGTGACTGGGCTAGGGGTTCCTGAAGGACTGAAGGCTGGGGACCCACACTGGATCTGCCACGCACATTCCAGCACTGCTATACTGTAACCAGCTCTGCCCTGCTCTGTCCAGCCTCAGCCCCTGTCCCTTCTCTTGTCCCCAGCCCAGGCCAGCCTGTGCTTTGCCCGCTCTTCCTCCCCCACCCCCTCCCCCAGCTGCCTTCCTACAAGTCACGGGGGCTGGTTTGCTTTGGCAGCCTCGTCGCCTGCCTGCTGCAGTGACCTCTGGAGCCCAGAGAGTCCTTCCTAGGGGGAGGGGGGGAGTTGGCCCGGAAAAGGTAACACTGAGTGCTGAGGCCCAGGCCAAGTAGCCGGAAGTGTCCAGAGGCAGATACACACTGTCCCAATGGTCAAGAGTCATGCATGTCAGACCCCTGCCAGATAAACACCCAAACACGCCAGGGTGGCCATCAGACACCTGCCTGTGGTCAGTCTCGCACCCAACACAGACCACGGCTGCTTACCCCAGACCCGCTGTCCTCTGCACAGTCACACCCACTTGCTCACTCATGCGTGCCGTCGTCCTCCTCCACCCACAGACCGGCAGCCTTGCAGGGGGCAGGCACTGGCTTAACCTGGCTTGGGGCCTGGCCCTAATCTCTTTCCAGTCCACCTTCCCTCTCTGTCACCAACTTTACCCCTCCAGAAAGACCCACATTTCAAGAGCACAGAAAACCTCACAGAATTCCTAGACCTAGCATCTGCTTGCTTCCTCTTCCCCCATAGCACGGGCAGGCTTTGTGGTTCTCTGTTGTGACCCCAAATACATGGTGGAGGCCCCACTGCCTGCTGGAAGGGAGGGTCCCCAAAAAATTGAGACCCTTGGATTTGGAGGCATGACATAGAGGGTGCTCACAAGAGAGACGGCGAATCAAGTCCAATAGTCTTTATTTCATGAACAAAACTACTTCTGTAAAGAGAGACGAGGCAGAATGGGCCCCTTCCTAAGTGGCCACAGTCCAAGGCTGGTGAGAGAGGGTGGGGTTGGGCCAGGGCAAAAGTGCATCACGGGAAGGGGACCCCAGGTCCAGCCGGAGGAAGCAGGGGTGGGTGGGGTGAGATGATGCCCGGGAGTCCAGGATGGGTCCAGAACCTCCTGCCCCAAACTGTTCCAGGCCATTATGACCCTCCCCGCTGGGCAGGGATGGTGTGGGGAGGGGCTGGCCCAGCAGAGCGTGTCTGAAGTGGCCAATGTGTGCAAATCAGCAAGAAGAGGGGTGCGGAGCCGCTGCCCCCACCTCACCGCCCCCTCCCCCAAACAGGCAGCAGAAGCAGGGGCTGGGGGCAGCGGCAGTATTGCTTTACCCATCATGCATGGCGGTGGGTGGGCGATGGGGTTCAGGAGGAAGAAGGCTGGGTGAGGAGTCTGAGCCGAGCCAATCCTCCTGCCTTCCCACCCCAGCGGCTCCTTGGCAGGCCTCTGAGGCTTGCAGAGTTCCAAGAATGGCCAACCCCCATTGGGGGCAGGCAGTACCCAGATGGTCCCCATTAGGGCTGGCTCATCCCCTTGAGGCGGAGCCCAGGGCCTAACGGGCAGGGAGAGAGAAGGGAATCAGGGACCTAGTGCCTGAAGCCCTCCCAGGTGCCCCCAGCCCCTGCCCATCTGCCTTACCAGAGCTATTCGGCCACCTGGACGCCAGTACAGTTCTCTTTGCTCTCTGAGGTGATGGCCAGGTATTCCGAGCTGTGGGAGAAAAGGCCGGGTGTACAGTGACCCCATCACTGGTCAAGCCCAAGCCCAAACCTCAGGAGAGTGGGGAAAGTTGGGGTCTCTGTCCGAGGTTCACAGGGCACTGGAGTTAGAGAGAGGAGGGGGCCATAGGCTGGACTCCTGGGCCTCAGCCCAGCTTGAGTCTGAACGTGATGTTGGACAAGTGACTCAACCTCTGACCTCTGTCTCCCCAGCTGCAGCCAGCTCCTGTATCTCCTCTCTGCACAGACTGACAGATGGCACCCCGGGTGCCCCCCTGCTTCCCCGACCCTCCCCGCTCAGCTCACGTGCGCCCGGAGATCTGGGGGTGCCCTGGGTGGCCTGGGCCCTCCCTGTCTGCCCCGCTCACGCGTTCTCTTGAGCAGCGGCCTCCGTGGCAGCAGCAATCTTCTTGTAGCAGTATACCATCTCTGCCACGAGCCAAATGGTCAACACCACGATGAGCACGTACATCATGATCTCAGACACTATGGACGCCATGTCTCTGTTGGCTGTGGGGACCAGGCAGGGTTAAGGGGACAGACGAGGCCCAAGCTCAGGAGACATGACAGCCCGAGAGTGCGACATGCTTGCCGCGTGAGCCTGGTCAAGTGGCTCGACTTCTCTGGGCCTGGGTCACAAATAGGACAATCCTGCTGCCTTCCCACAGTCATCAGTGTCATCCTGATTATTAACAACCAGCCTGGGTAGACCTGGGAATCTCCCTCAACCTTCCTCCCTGTGTAACTCGAGGCATGCATGTCTGTGACGTTCAGGAGGCCCGGCCAGCATGTGCCTGCAAGGTTTAATTTTATAATCAAAAAATCCTGGCTCTGAGACTTGCCAGCTGTGTGATCTTGGGCAAGTGACGCAACCTTTCTGGGCCTCTGGAAAAAGTCAATAACCACAATATCTCCTCCACGGGGTTTTGAGAATTAAATAAGCTATAGAAATCCTCAGAATAGGGCCTGACCCTATTCTGTACTGCACTCAGTACAGACTATTGTTATGACGAGGGGTAGCAGGTTCCAGGCCCAGGCTGCTTGTGCTGGAACTGGCTCTGTCTCTTCCTAGCTGTGCAATCTTAGACATATGAGTCTACCTATCTGAGCCTCATCCCGCCCACCCCCCACCCCACAAAGTGACAGCGTTGGTACTCCTGGCTTCTCACCGCAAGGCAGAGGAGAGGAAATGTATCCTGCTGGATGAGCTGCAAGCCAACACTGCCGGAGTGCCGGCTGTTTTCCAGAAACCCTACAGACTTTCCACAGCACTGGCCCTCCCCACCACCAGCTTCCTCTCTCTGAGGCTAAATTTAAACCCTAAAGGATGTGGATCCAGCCAGGGGCCAGGGGCAAAGGGCACTGTGGCTGCCTCCTCATCCAGATTTCACAGGTGTGCATCCTGCACACCCTCTGATGACCAATGGTCAGGATCTCACTTCTCCTGCGGCCGTCCTTGTGGGGTTGCTTGCCCCTGTGGGCCGGGCTCTTTCTGCTGCTGGTACTGATGCTTCCTGGGCCTGAGTGAAGGAGGGGTGCACTCAGCCACAGTGAGCCGTGCCTGAGTGCTCCCCTCCCCGCTTCCCGGCAGGAGGAGATGGCATGGGACCCTATGGCTCATTCTTTCATTCACTCAGTTGCTCATTCTTTCATTCACTCAGTTGCTCATTCTTTCACTCATTCATTCGTCCATTCACTCATTCATTCACTCACTCATTCATTCGTCCATTTACTCATTCATTCATTCATTCATTAACTCACTCATTTGGTCATTCATTCATTCACTCAGCCACTCAATCATTTGTTCACTCATTCATTCACTCACTTGTTCATCTGTTCATTTATTCACTCACTCACTCGTTTGCTCATTCATTCATTCACTCACTCGTTCATTTGTTCACGTGCTCATTCAGCAGATAGTACTAATCGCACACGCATCGCACACGCATCGCACACGGTGGGGAGGCCACTCTCAGCCAGGCTCTGTGGTAAGCTCTCCACCTGAGCATCTTGCTGACTCCTCAGAACAGCCGCAAGGATAGGACGGTCCAGGTTCCCCACAGTCGGGAACCACACTGAGTTAGGTACGGCTGCATCGTCAGAATTCTCACTCTTTCCCTGGAACTCAACATCCAAGTGGATTTAGAAGAGCAAGATCTCTGCTCTCCTAATTGGATTAGGACGATGATAGGCACAGATCTGTAGCCTGTTTTCCAGATGTACACTCAGGTCCAGGGGGATGGTGCAGGGCCAAGAATATACAGCCAGGGCTGGACTCTGAGTCAGGAGTCAACCCCTAGCATAGGTGACTGCAGGGGCTGGCTGAGCTCCTCCTGTGACCAGAGTGAACCTCGGAAAGAGCCACCGATCCAAGCGCAGCTACCATGAGCCCAGCCTCCATTTGGGGAGGCAGGACCACCAGGGACCCCATGTCACAATGAGAGCTGAGGCACAGAGGACCGGTAGCACCTTTCCTGGGGAGCCCTTCTAAGAGCTTTGCCTGCCCTACCCACACAGGCAACTTCCAGACTTGAAAGCCCAGAGGCACCTCTGCAGGTGGCATGGCTCCTCAGCCTCAGACACTGCTACTGTGTATCATGATTGTCCCCATCTGTCTTCCCCCACCTCCGTTGGTCCACCCCAGCTACTTCCTACATTTTCTACACCTCTCCAGGTCGGGGTATCCACACCACTCACACCAGTTGCCCCCTTTTGGACACGACTCAGTCCAACCTTAAGGATCACCAGCAGGAGGTAGCACAGACTGACGTGTGAGGCAGAAAATGCAGTAACACAGTGGATAAGAGTAATATCCTAAATATCATGGATGTGGTTGGTGGTGTACACCTGTAATCCCAGCACTGGGGAGGCAAAGGCAGGTGGACTGCCATTTTGAGGCTAGCCTGGGCTCCACAGTGAGACCCTGTCTTGAAAAACCTCCTAGTGTTTGGAGTGGGGCTCAGTGGTAGAAGACTTGCCTAGCACGTGCTAGGCCCTGGGTTTCATCCCCAAGTACTGAAAAAACACCACCACCACCACCAATAACAAAAAAACCCCAAAATAAATAAATAAAATACTATGGTGGGTACTGCTAAAAAGGATCTATCTATCTATTATCTATCTATCTATCTATCTATCTATCTATCTGTCAATCTATCTATCTGTCTATCTATCCATCTACTCTCCTGTGGTGGATAGAAAACACTAGGTTATAAGAGGTAATGCTGAAAACACAGACTCTGGAAGGCAGCAGAAGGAGCTTTGCACTGTGATAAATATTGCTCGAAATTCATCTCTGGAGGTGGCATAAGACATTAGACGATGTGACAGGGAGTTAGGCTCACAGGTCACGGACAGCCTGAGCTCGTTGGCCTCCGATATGCCAAGGAGCACCGTGAGCAGGTGCCCAGTAATTAGACAGAGAACCGGGTGACAGCACCCTAGAGTCGCCCAGCCCTGGTTGGTGAGAGAGGAAAAAGCCAGGTTTAGTGGAGCCCAGTGTCTGGGCATCTTTGTCACAGTGGTTCTACTTTGACCCCTCACTCGTGAGGACAGGGATGGCTGACCACCCACCCAGCACAGTGATATACTCTACCCACTGGCTCAGACACGCCTTCTGAATTGCCTTCTTTCTGTGCTATGGTGGTAAGAAACAGAAAAAAGTGCTAATTCTACAAAGAACCCCACAGGCTCTGGCTGACACCTGTACAGTGATCCCTACCAAAACCAGAAATGGCCACCACCTAGGCAGGGCTGGGTTCAAATCTAGGTCCCTGTTATGAGACTGGCCACATGCTCCGAGCCTCCTGAACCTTAGTGTCCTCACCTGTAAAATGGAGATAGTAAGAAGTGTCTCTCCCCTGGAAGTGGCTGGGAGGTTCTGTGAGGGCCTTCCCAGGATGTCTAAGGCCAGCACCTGTCTCTTGGCAAAGCAGGGCAACGCATACTGTCCAGGATTCTGTGTGCTGCAGGCCCCGTGGGATGCGCTTGCCAGGGCTCTTTGTTGGCTCCAGGCCTGGAATAGCTCCCTGATTCTCTAAGCCAAGGAACCATAGGGCCTTGGAAAATTCCAATTTATGCCAATCAGAAGATGGGCCAGAAAGGGGTGGAGGTCCTTCAAAGCAGGGATCCAAGACAGGCAAAATGCTGGGATGGCTCAGGAAGGCTGCAGACCCCTCCTCCCAATGCTGCTCCCAGTGTGGCCCCTAGGCCTGCAGCACACGCCTGTCAGAAATGGGGCACCCCCTCCCAGGTTTGCCATGTCTGGCTGTGCTGGTGATAAGATGCCTGGGTGCACAGTGGGATTCGGGGAGCTGGGCTCTGGGTGACACACTTGGCCAGGACAGAGGGAGAGAGGGCAAAGACCACTTGACAATCATTGCTGAGGTTCTTATGTCCGAGGCCCTGCTGTGAGCCGGGCATGTGACAGCAGCTGGTACCCAGCATTGTGCTCAGTTCCCATGACCTCCCAAGACATAAGAATGGCTAAAATGACACCCCGGGTGGTAGATGCCATTATCATCCTGGTCTCTCACAGCACAGCCCTGAGCCTCAGAGACAAGAAAGGAGCCTGCCAGAGGTGACAGAGCACAGGTAACAAGCCAGGTTTTCCACTCACAGTGTCCATGGGGGCAGATCTGGAATGGGAGGAAACCCGCTTCCCCTACTCCTGAGAGCTGCTGGCCAGCCCAGGCATGGAGCCAGCCTGTCCCTGACCTGCCATCTGTCCCTCCATCTGGCAAAGGGACAGACAGGGCCCAACTCACCTTTGTCCACCACCTCAAGGTGGATCTTCTTGACGACGCTGGTGTTGTGCTCATAGTTATCGAAGAACAGCAGGCGGTAGACGTGGCACTCGTAGTCACCCGAATGGTTGTAGGTGACATTGGTGATGAAGATGGACAGGTCCTGCAGATCCTTGGTGCCCCGGCTTCCATTCCACACTACACGGCCCTCGAAACGCTCATCCTCCTCCAGCTGCAGCACCTCGTTCTCATAACGCAGGATCTTGGGGTGGCCGGGGCAAGGGAGTGGGGTACAGGTCATTGCCTGGGCCTGTTTCCCCCACACCTGACCCTGATCTTTTCCCTGTCCTGACCCGCACAGGCACAGATGGCGCACACGTGGGTGCAGGCATCTTGACCTCAAGGCAGGGAGGGCACAGTGGGGCTGACATCAAGCTTGGGACCATCCCAGACCCTACCTTTGCATCTAGCCCTAAGACACACACAAGCCCCACTTGGCCTTCCCAGCCCTCATTCTCTGCAATTTTTCTCCAGCCACCAGACACATTCCTCAGGCAGGGGACAGGACAGCCTGACCCCAGCTGCTGGGGACCCCAAGTCTCCAGCAAGATGGTAAGTTGCCAGTGAGCTGCCATATGCAATTCAAAATACACTGTGTGAAGGACGTAAGAAAAGTTATGCTTTCGCGCCGTGATGACTATCTGAGAAATTTTTGCTGCTGCCAAAACAATTGCAGTGACATTTATTTTGAGCCAGTCACGTACCAACTGCATTAACTCATTCATCTCCCACACACAAACCTATGGAGTAGAGAGTAGAGACACCGCTCCCCATCTTTCAGAAGAGGAAAATGAGGCTCAGAGGGGCTCGAGACTTGCCCAAGGTCACCAGCTGGCCAGTGGTGTAGCCAGAATTTAATTCAGGTCATCAATCAGAACTACATTATTACAACAAACCAGCAAACAACCCCTCCACCTTGACATCCAGCCCTCCTGTTCCCCCATCCAGACCCCTGCTCACGCACCTTCACAAACTCCTCTGTGCCCTTCTGGCGGAAGGTCCACTCTGTGAAGGTCTCGGCGCTGGTCTCACTGCGCCGCTTGCAAGAGATGCACAGAATTTTGAAGGTCATCCCATACACGGCCTCAGTCTCCGAGTCCACTTCCACGCAGCCCCCCCGGGCTGAGGACACTGTGGGGACAGTGGGCTCAGGTCAAGCGAGGCACCCATCACCCCAGGCGATCCCAACCTTACTGGCTGTTGACTTGTAGGTCCCTGGAAACCCATCTGTTCCCCTCTGTGGTTATTACAAATGGATGGAGCTGGATGCCAGGCCTGGCCCTGCCTCCTGCTCACTGCTGCATGACCCTGGCAAGTCTCTCGTTGCTTCTGAGCCTCAGTTTCCCTCTCTCTGTCATGTGAAAGAAATGATCACCTGTTTCCCGCAACTGGGCAGAAACTGAGCACATAGGCGGCCCCAGGAAACAGCTCCCAACATGGCCAGAATTCAGACTTTGCTTCCTGAGGACCCCTTTCTCTGAAGGTCACTTGGTCAAGGTACCAAAGCATCTAGGTGGTGGGACTAGAATTCCAGCTGCTTTAGAAGTTCAAGGTGTCAGAGTCACACTTAAACTGGCCAGCAAAACTAGCCATGGGTTGAGAAAAGGGAAAGTTTTGGAAGGGGGGGAGCAGACCTGACTCCAGCCCTTCTTCCTACTCCCACAAGCCCCTAGGTGATCCATCTTCCCTAACCTCCCCTCTATCCTCCTCAGGCTCCCTCACCTCCAGATCTTTGTCTCACCTAGTTGCTTCTAAAATCTCTTCCCTGCCTCAGGGCCTTTGCACCATCACTGGACTACAGGCTTTTTGGATCCTTACTTCACCTGCCATCTTCTTCCTGCCTCTCAGGATCACCAGCTACTGCGGTGTCTCCAGCTCCAGCTCTGGGTCTTTAACTGTTCACAAACTCCTCTCTTAATCTTCAGCGCTTCCCCCGCCACCTGCTCCCATCACTGTCTCTTTCAATTTCCCCCAGCTCCTCTGCCCCCCTCTCTCCCATCTTTATTCCTATCTGGTGTCTCTCTGAAGGTCCCACCACTTTGTGCTCTGGGTTTCTCTCTCCACCTTTAAGCTCCATCCAGCATTCTCTCCCTGGGCCTACTTGTCTCTATCTCCCTCCCTCACCTCTCCAGCTCTTTCTGCCTCTCGCAAGTTTCTCTCTCTCTCTCTCTCTCTCTCTCTCTCACTCTTAACTCTCTCTCTTTTCTTCTTCTTCTTCTTTTCTCTCTCTCTCTCTCTCTCTCTCTCTCTCACACACTCTTAACTCTCTCTCTTCTCTTCTTCTCTCTTTCTCTCTCTCTCTTTCTCGCTCCACTGTCCCTTTCTAGGTCTCTGTCTCCCACATTCCCAGTCTCCCAACGGAGTCCTTCTCTGTCTCTCGTCCCTCCTTCCCGTCTCCATCTCTCCCGGTCACTCGGTCTCTCCTGTCCCAGGCTCCGGCGCCTCCTTCCCTCAACCCCTCCCGCGGCTGTGGGTGTCACATTGCAGCCTGCGGGGCTCTGGGAGCAGCTGACTCCGCGTTTCCTCGCCCCCAGCTGGGCGCCCGCAGCCTCGAGGCCGTGCCGACCTGCGCCCGCCCGCCCGCTCTTGTCCCCGGCACCTCCACCACCCTCACGAGCCCCGCGCCCTGTGCGCACAACTTCTGAAGCGGACTTCGCGGGGCCGGGGGATAGGCAGGGGGCAGCCGGGTCGCGGTCGCCGGGAGTCTCGAGCGCGAATCCCGCCGCCCCGCCAGCGCCCCCGCTGCGGTCCCAGCCGCGCGCGCCCCGCGCACTCACCCAGTGCCGCGCCGACCACCAAGGCCAGCAGCGTCCCCATGGCCGCGCTGCGCACGCCGCGCCCCGCTCCCGGGCCGCCGGCCGGTATTAATAGCGGGGCGAGAGGCGGCGGGACCGGCGGCGGTTAGAATGTCCCCAGGAGCGCGCGGGCGCAGCAGCTGCGGCTCTGGGACCGGCGAGGGGGGAGGAGGGGGGGCGCGGCCCCCCGCTCCGGTTACCGCCGGGGGCCCAGCCCCGGGGCCCGGCGTCCGGGCATCCCGCGCGCGCGGCGGCGGCCGCTGCTCGGGCTGCTGCGCTGGCGCGCGCAGCCTGGCGCATCCGCCAGGTGCCCCGACCCCGGCCCCGCTCCGGCCCCGGCGCGCTGGGCGCGGACCGCGGTCTCCTGCGCACTGCAGCGGCGGTGGCGGCCTGGGGAGGGAGGAGGGAGGGGAGGGAGGGGGCGGGATGAATCACCGCGGGGGGAGGGCGCGGCCGCCCAGCCTTTGCCGCAGCGGCCCGGGAGGCGCCCGTGCACCGGCCTCTCCTGTGGCGCAGGGACCGCGCGCGGTTAGATGGGCCCCGGGGCAGGTGGTCTGGGAGTCTTGGAGTCCGCCAGACTCTGGGGATCTTTCAGTTTCTGAGTCTGGGAAAGGTCACCCCCAGACACCCAAGAGGAGTTAGAGGGCAGTTTGGGGGACAGGCTGCCTTCTTCAAATGATGGAGGTCATTCTCACGAGTTTGAGGGTCCTTGGCTGGGATATCCAGGAACCCCTGAGGTTCTGGGTAGCTAGACCTGGAGGTCACTGTGCAGGGACCCATGTGCGTATGGGGGGGGGCGGTGGCGGGGGGGGGCGGAATGTTGCGCTAGGGTTTATATTACACATGCACGAGGAGTACCCTGGAGTCCAAACCCGAGGAGCCGCTCGGGGGTTTGGAGGTGCCGTGATCAGAAGGACAATTCCCTACCGTCCCTCACCCATCTCCATGGCTCTGACGTCATCTACCCCCCTCCCACTCCGCTCTGTCCACTCCCCTGCACCGCACCCCCCCCAGCACAGGAGCTCCTTCCTGTCTTTGCCCTAGTTTCTCCCTCTGTCCTGACCCCTCATTTTCCCCAGGTGACCAGAGGGCTCAGTCCCTCACCTTCTGAAGCTCTTGGCTCCAATGTCACCTTTGCCAGGTCCTCTGTGTCCATTCAGGGCAAGTGGCCTGTCTCCATCATTACTTGACCTCCTTCCACTTTTTATTCTCCAAAGCAGTTGTGGCCACCTAACTTACTTTTTTTTTTTTCCCTTTTTTTGGAGGCAGGGTCTCCCAGGCTGGCCTTGAGCTGAGATCCTCCCACCTCAGTCCTCCTGAGTGTTGGGATTACAGGTGTGTAACATCCATCACACCTGGTTTATGTTCGTCTTTTATATAGTTTTATCTGTTCAGTGCTTATCCTGCCAACAATGGAATATAAGACCCCCCCAGGGTGAGAACACTGTCCTGTGCACCACTGTGGCCAGTATGCCGAACTCTGCGTGGCACGTTGCAGATGCTTCATAAATATTTCTCAAATGAAAAAGTAGATAGAAATACTCATTAGGTCCTTATTCCCAAACCCACTTCTACCTCCCCAAATTTTCACAGCCAAGTTCTGTTATCTTCATTTTATAAATGAGGAAACTGAGGCTGGGAAGGGTCACGCCTTTGCCCAGGGTCATGCAGCTGGCCTGGAGTGCATCTGGAATCCTGACCCAGCAATGTCTGGTGGTTTTGCCCCCTTGTAGGAAGGAATGAGGATATGGACTCTGGGATGTCAAGACCAGGGTGGGAGTGAGACTCTTGACTGGCCAGGTGCCAGCTCCCAGTTCCGGTTGGGGTAAAGTTCCAGAATCCCCCTGGTAGGGCCAGAGGATCCAGAGTGTGGGGGTAGATCCAGGGCAGAGTGGCAGGGAGCCAGGGACACTGGACACCTTTGTGGTCTGGTCTTTTGCGCCAGCACCTCCTGAGCTGTGAAATTCCCTGGCAGAAAATAACCTTCTTGCTGATCCTGGCCCTTCCTCGGTGGGGATGGTGGGTGGAGGCACAGTGAGGACAGCCTCAGCACTGGACAGGGACAGTGGTCACCTCCCAACAGCCCTACAAGCTGATGTCCGCTGGGCACCTATATGTGCAGGCCTGAGCACTGTGCTAGTATTAACTTACTGAATTCTTGCCACAAGGTGGCTATTATCACTACACCCAATTTATAGGGTGCAGAATGTACTGAGGTACAGAATGGGTAACTGGCTATGGTCACACAGCTTGAGCGTAGAAGCTACTTGTGATCCACCTTGCTTCTTTACAATGCCTCCTCCAGTCCCCTGCCCAAGCCATCAGTGAGGATGGTTCTTGCAGCCTGGAACGTGACAGGTCTCCCTCACTCTGACCCAGCACAGGGTTTGAGGGAGACAGATCTAGGGTCTATCTGCACAGGAACATGGTCTCTGTACAGCAGGGGTCCAAATATCCTCCACCTGGCTGGGCCGTTGGGGTCTTGCGAAGGTTGTTGCACATCTTGTTTTGTAAATATGGAGCCCTCCTCTGGTGTAGAAATTGTCTCCGTCCCATGGAGTTTTGGGAGAATGAAATGAAACATCTATCTCAGCACAGTTTGGTGCATACTTGGCACTCCCTACGTTGTTTCTTTTCTGCAGTAAGTGTAACATTTATTGAATACTTACTCTGTGCCAGGCTCTGTTAAGAAGGAGCCACGCTTATTCACGCCTTGACTTCTCATAACTGCCGTTCCCAAAGTTGTGGCGCTCATTAGAGGTCTGACTCTAAGAAACTCCAAGACTGAGGCCCAGCATTGATTCACAGCAAACTTTCTAGGAGATTCTGATGCTGCTATGTTTGAAAGCCACTCACTTGTAAACCACCCTGACAGACAGGTGCTGATATTATGCCCATTGTCCAGAAGAGGAAACTGAGGCTCAAGTTGTTAACTTGCTCCAGGTTCCGTGGCTGCTAGGAGGCAGGACTTAAATCCAGGCCACCAGGCACCAGTCTGTCCTGGGAGCCCCTGCTCTGGTCTTTGACAATGCCCTGGGGGCAGGGCGGGGGGGGCAGGGTGGTGGGAGGGGAGGATAGGGAAGGAAGGGGATGGGAGGAAGGGTCCAGAGGCTTCAGTGCCTAAGCCCAGAAAATGGACAGTTGCCCCTCCCCGCCACTGTGGGATCTGAGTGTGACAGGAAGCCCCCACCCACTTCCGGGGCCCCACAGGCAAAGCCACAACCATTTCCAACCCTTTATTGGGCTCTGTCGCCCCAAATAAATATAATACATTAAACCAGAGCTGAGGGATTCATGCACCCCAGAATGCCCCCCCCAAACCCCAGCCAAGCAAAATAAGTTAGTGGGAAGGCTGCTAAGCCCAGGCCAGCCCCGGGCTGGACAGGCGATGGCAGCTGGACTCGCACACGCTTCTAAAGTGCATCTCGCTTCTGTGGTCCCCACATCTGTTGTGGCCCCTGGTCAGGCCACTGGGAAGGGTGGCGGGAGGTTCCCGCGCGCTCACACCCCGTGCCAGCAGTGGCCGCCGAGGAAACTGAGGCTCAGAGTTGTTAACTTGCTCCAGGTTCCGTGGCTGCTAGGAGGCAGGACTTAAATCCAGGCCACCAGGCACCAGTCTGTCCTGGAGCCCCTGCTCTGGTCTTTGACAATGCCCTGGGGGCAGGGCGGGGGGCAGGGTGGTGGGAGGGGAGGATAGGGAAGGGAAGGGGATGGGAGGAAGGGTCCAGATGGCTTCAGTGCCTACAAGCCCAGAAAATGGACAGTTGCCCCTCCCGCCACTGTGGGATCTGAGTGTGACAGGAAGCCCCCACCCACTTCCGGGGCCCCACAGGCAAAGCCACAACCATTTCCAACCCTTTATTGGGGCTCTGTCGGCCCAAATAAATATAATACATTAAACCAGAGCTGAGGGATTCATGCACCAGAAGGTGCCCCCCCCAAACCCCAGCCAAGCAAAATAAGTTAGTGGAAGGCTGCTAAAGCCCAGGCCAGCCCCCGGGCTGGACAGGCGATGGCAGCTGGACTCGCACACGCTGTTCTAAAGTGCATCTCGCTTCTGTGGTCCCCACATCTGTGTGGCCCCTGGTCAGGCCACTGGGAAGGGTGGGCGGGGAGGTTCCCGGCGCTCACACCGTGCCAGCAGTGGCCGCCGGAGTTCTGTGTGTCCTTCTGTCCACTTTGGGGAATGGCTGAGTGGCCAGGGGATCTCAGGAGAAGCTCTCGTCAGAGTGTGGCTGGCCATCGAAGGGGGGGTCAGAGACTGTGATGCCTTGATGTAGTTTCTCCAGAGAGAACTTCATCTGCGGGAGGAGATGGGGTGAGGTCACCTGTACCATCCTGTGCAGCAGAGCCCCTAAACTTCTCAAAGCAGCAGAGGACCCAGATGGTCTGGGTTCAAATCTTGGCTCTGGTATGGCTGAGTAACCTTGTGGAAATCCCTTCGCTGCCCTGGGCCTCACTCGCCTCACTGAATGTGGTCAGTAACATCCCGGCTTCATAGGGTCATGCAGTGGACGCTTGGGCCTGGCACTAACTGCTCAGTGCACATCGGCTCTTAGCATTACCCCTGTGTGACCTTGGGCACAGGATGCCTCGGGAATCACAAGGTTCACTAGGAGGATTAAGCAGGCCATCAGGCGGAGGGAGCACTTAGCCTGGCTCCAGGACGTGCTCAGCTCGCACCGCTGTTCTCGACTGTGAGGTCGACTCTATCTCTACAATGTGAGGTTGAGAAAAGTAATTAAAATTGGACTCAGGATGGGGAGCCTGTTCTGTCTCCCCATAGCGATGGGGCCTCGGGTCCCGTCCCTCCTTTCCTGTTGGAGCATCTACCCATGAGCGCGCTCCCGCCTCACCAGACAGAATGTCCACTGCTGCCTGCAGCTAGGCTCTGATCACCCTGGGCACCCAGCCAGTGCCACACTCTCCCCTCCTTATGGGGGCACCTACCCCAGTGTCCTACATTTACCCTGACTCACGACAGCTGCTGACTTGAGTCCACTGGGGCCTGTTAAGTGCCTAGTGTATGCCTGGTATGTAAGAGACCCACGTGAATAACAGCAAGCACACTTTATGAGTTTACTGTGTACTTGAGGCTACTGTAAATGTCACACATTTAATTCTCAGAATTGAATGTAGAGGACGCAGCCGAGGCCCAAATGGCAGTCATTTGCACAAGGCCACTACCAAATTTGAACCTGGTCATCTGACAGATGCTGCCCTGAACCAGACGGGTGATTAGGTTAACCCCCTTTTGGAGATGAGACCCTAGTATCCTTCACAGAACCTCTCCCCTACCTTAGCTCAAAGCAAGGAAAAGGGAACAGGGACCAAGCCTAGGCTAGCCTTGGCTCCTTTCATTGGTTGGGAGGGGTGGGCATGTGACCCCAGCAGCCAACGAGAGTGAGCCCTTTCCTCTGGATGCTCTTAAACAAAGCCAATCCTGAGCACCCGCAGCATCAACAGATTGTTACTACTATACAGTGGCTGGATCCAGCTATGCCTGAAGTAAGCATTCAGGTTGTGAACCAATAAATCCTTTCTTCCATTCCACTGACTTCCTCAGTAACCCTGTGAGGTAGTGAATCACACACAGAGTAACTCCATCTTGTAGCAAGTTTCCATTTAGCTATTCTACGTGCCAGACTGCAGCAAAACAAAGCCTCCTTTCTCACAGTCGGACAGTATTTGCTGAGTCCAGCAGAATCCCTGATAAGAGCGAGGACAGAGTGGACATAAACACACAACTTTCCTAGGGTCTGGTTTTGTCTGTGTCTTATGTCGAGCCTGTAGTTACTTCTGCTGCCTTAACATCAGGTAGTGCCCTAGGCCCAGGTTTGCATCGGTTCTGCCGTAGACTGGGAGCCACATAAAATAGGAACTCCGTAGGCAGGGTGTTGCAGCTGTCAGCAGTTATCCACAGCTCCGTAAGAAATCACTAATAAACTACTTTTCTCAACAAGCTGGACTTGTATGAGTCGCTCCTTGAGCTGAAAATTCATCCAACACGGGGGCTAGGAATGGCTGCCCCATTTTACAGTGGAGGAAACTGAGGCCCAAAGTGAGGAAGCATCTAAACACAGGGTCGCACAGCCCCACCTTGGTCCCGTACCTCGTCCAGGAGCTCCACAGAAGCCCGCAGGATCTGCCTCCACTTGTGTACCTCGACGCTGTGGAACTGCTTCTGCAGGGCCAAGATCTCAGCCCACTCCGTGGCCGTCTGGGGGAACTTGCTGTGGACACAGGACCTGAGTGAGCCTGAGCCTGAGCCTCTCCAATTTGCCCCAGCTCGCCACCTACTTCACACTACCCACTCACCCCTTGGCCAGAGCCAGGCTGTGCCAGGACTCAAAGGTGTGGGCTGTCCTCTCCAGGGACCAGAGACGATAAAAGAGGAGGGCATTGAGGGCGATGAGGACGATGAGGCTGGGGACAGGGGTCAGAGGTCAGGAATTCAAAGGTCCTGATGTTCCCGCAGGTCAGGCAGGCATTAAGCTCTGGACCCCCGGCATAACCACACCTTGAGGGGGCTCCATGATTTACCCACCCTTTTCAGAGAAGGAAACAGGCTCAGAGAGGGTGAGTGACATGTCTAGGATCACACAGTCCATGAAGAGAAGAGTTAGGGTTTCCACCCAGGCCTGTCTCACACCCACAGCCTTGATGGCCACAACAGGCCACCTCCCTGGGAGGGTGGGGGGCAAGGAGTAGGGATAGGAGGCTCTAGAGGGAGGGGAAGGGAGGAGGAGGATGAAGGACCCTACCTCACACAGATCCTGTAGGCAGCAAGGGGGAGACAGAGAAATGAGAGCTGCCCAACCAAGCTTGACCCAGCCCTCTTCCACCCTAGGCAGCTGATCCCAGCCTGCCACACGGCCTCTCCTGCGCTGCTGGACTTGGGAAATTGAGGCCCAGAGAGGCTGAGTGTGTGGCTCAGAGTGCCCCACCCTTCCCCCTCACCTGCAGGCCTTTGTCATGTTGGTCTCCCTAAGCTCTCCCTAAGTCTCAGCTCAGGTGTCCTCTGCTCTCACAGAAAGCCACCCTGCTGCCCTTCTGTGGAGTCTCCTAAGTTTGGCCTGATCCCTCTGGCCTGGTGTCAGGTCTGTCTCTTAAAGAGGTCACTGCTGATCCCCAAAGTCACCCAGCTTAGGGCTGGGCACAGACAATATGAGCATAATATATAAATGACCTGACTTCTTTTGCATCCCTCTCCCCATTCACCTGGCTTATTCTGCAAGCTGTGGATGCCTGCTCCTCCAGAAACCCTCAGTTTCCCTGGGCAAGGGCAGGCCCCTCTGACCCCCCCCACAGCCCCTGGCCCCTGCCCTTCCAGCAGGAGAGGCTTCTGCACAACAAACTGAGCAACTGTGCTATGCAAGGAGCTCTGCTGGACGCTTTCCAATCGTCTTGTAGTGATGTTAGTCCATGATCCCACATAGGCAGAGGCCCAGAGAGGCCAAGCGTTTGCCCAAGGTCACACAGCCAGGCTGCAGATCCAGGCCTGTCTCCTACTCACACAATGCTGATGAAAACCAGGGCACTGGGGATGCCTGCCCCAGGGCCCTGGTCCATGGATGGTTCCGAGAAGCGGGAGCTGAGGGAGCCTGCGGGGAAGCAATTCAGGGTCAGCAGTCCTACCCTAGGCCCCCACCCCAGGCCCCCCAGCTCCTCCTCCTGCCCTGATGGGACACACCTGAGGTGTGCATGCCCACCCGGGCACAGGGGTCAGGGTCCGGAAGCTGGGGCCCGTCTCCATGCCCCCTCCAGCTCAGGGGTCGCTTCCTCCTACGCAGGCCTGACAGCAATCCCCGGGCGTCCTTCCCGCCTTCCTCTAGGGACAGCTTCTCGGCCTTGGCGAGCTCTCGCTCTGGGGGAAGAAGAGGGGCTCTGGATGTCTGGACCCAGCCAGGCTGGGACCCCACCCTCTGGGACTGGCCTTCTGCCTCTACCCAGGTGGTGGAAATAATCCTCAATGCCACTCCACGAGTTCTTCTCAATGAGGGACTTCACCAGGCTCCACGGCTGCTTCCGGTAGCGGATCTCTGACGACACTCTGTGGGAGGGAGATGAAGGGGAGGGTCAGGGTACCGGGGGAACCTGTGGGCTCCGGCTGTCCTGCAGCTCCAGGTGGTTTCTTCCCTTCCCTTATTCAGAGAGGACCCTTTGTCACGCACAGACAAAACTGTGCTGCCACCCCTATGGCTTCTCTACATCCTGCTCCTCACCCCGCACCACGCCTTGCATGTGGCTGACCTGGCCTGGCCCTCTCCCTGGGCAAGTCGCCTTCCTGGCCACCTCACCTGAGCATGGTCCACTCACATGCCCTGTCTAAGCCCAGTTCTCAGCCCTGAGCCTCCTCCCCATCGGACTGCTGCCCTCGAACCCCACCCGGGGGTCTAAGTGACAGTTCAGCTTAATATGTCCCAGGCTGAGCACGGGATATTCCCCAAGTCTCCTCCCTGCCTTCCCCATCATGGTCACTGGCTCCTTCCAGTTACTCAGGCCAGCCTGAGTCCTGGCCTTGGTCCCTCTTCTTTCTTCACATGTGAATCCAGTCTTAGCAGACTCTGTCAGCTCCGCCTGCAAAATCTATCCAGAATTGAACTCTTGTCCTTCAGGCTGGCTCAGCCTCCACTCTTCCCATCTGAACATCACCCACTCCCATCCCAGCCCCCATTATCTCTTCCCACCTGCAGACAGAAGGAGCCTGTGCACACCTGCTCAGAGCCTGCCTTGCTGCACCTCACTGCTGCTGAAAGCTAAGTTCTCATCATGACCATGAAGCCATATGTGTTCTAGTCCACTTTCCTCTTCCACTCCAGCTATCCTGATGCTCCTGCCTCAGGGCCTTTGCACTGCCACCCCAAATGAATAGTTCTCACCTCCTTCCAGTTCTTTTGAAACATTCCTTTCTCAGAAGACCCTCCCCTGACTCGCACACTCAGAGTTAAGCCTGAGGGTCCACCACCCCTCACACTCCTTAGCCTGCTCAGCTTTACGCCAAAGCCCTTATCATCAATGACCGTTCTGGGAACTTGCATAATCATTTTTTTTTATTGGTCAATTCTGCCATAGAGTGATGAGGTCCCAGAGAGGAAGTTTTGTCCCCAGGGTCTGAAACAGGTTCTGAAGATGCTCCATAAACAGCTGAATAAACGAACCTCTCACTTGCACACCTATTCTCTTGACAGCTCAGAAGCCCTCTGCAGATGGGAGAGAGCGGACCCAGTGCCACCTTCTGTCATTCAGAGTTCAGGGCCTCAGGGATCCTGTGCTTCGTCAGGGTGGGAACCGGCCCTAGCTGCTGACTTGGGGTGGGGAGAGAGGGGGCCAGGTGGCTGAGCCTGGCAGATGCTCACCGCAGCCGGGCCTTGTTCCGGGCTAGCCCCAGGATGCAGTAGCGATGGGCTGTGTAGAAATAATCCTGGTATGGGATGCCCTGTGTCAGCACTTCTGAATCCACCACACACCCTCCTGCCTGTGGACCACGCCGAAACAGTGTCTGCAGGGACAGGACAGGACAGAGGTGAGGGCCCACCCCACTGGGCCACCAGGCTATCCTACCTGCCTGGCCACCCCACCTGGCCTACCTGTGTTTCCACCACAGAGGCACTCTTGGGACCCAGTGGGTTGCTGATGGGGATGGTGTATGTTAGCACTCTGCGCTGGTGGCACTTGCTGTCCCCGCTCCAGGGACTCAAGGTCACATCTGAGGGTGAGAGGAGCAGAATGAGAAAAGGCTTAAGAGACTCAGCTTCAGTTCTCTGGGGACTTGTCCCTGGCCCTTCCCTCTACATTTCCCACCCACCTCCCCCACACTGTTGTCTACCCCCACCTTCCTTTCAGGAGCCTAAAACTTCAGATGTCAGTGAGAGTTCTAGCTGATACCTTGCTTACCCCAACATTTCTGACCCCTGCTGGGGCCACCTCATCCACTCCTGCAGCCTCAGTTTCCCTCGGGGAACCAGACCTAGCTTCTCCCCAGAGCATCCCTGGAAGTCCTCTGGCCCCTTCACACTTACCAGGCCCTACAATGGCGCCAGCATCTCCCCAAATCTGCCCCGTTGAGTCCCCACTTCAGGGACAACCCAGGGTCCTCCAGTCTCCCACTGGGCTTTGCCTCCCCCAGCATGTTGGCCCCACTGTGTTCTGATCTTCTGAGTGTCATTTCTAGTTCATCCATCCTCACCTGCCCAGGGTCCCTCCCCAGCCTCCCCCAAGCACTGGCGTGACTCCATATATGACCCAGGGACATTTTGTTAAAGCTAAACCTGCCCCTGATCTGCCTAGCACATTCCATTGCTCCCTAGTGCCCCAGCACAGAGCCTGAGCCCTCTGCCTGATTTCCAGTCCCTGCAGGACATAAGCACAGTTTTGTGGCACCTGTATATTCCTTTGCAGGGAGGTTCAGTTCTACCAACATAGAAAAAAAAAAAAGAAAAAGAAAAAAGAACTGCCACCTGACTGACCTGACTCTCTAGCCTGCCCAGCTATCCGCCCATGGTTGGTCAGTCCTCAGCCTCCCCTGATGCTTTCCTCTCCATACCTGCCAGGATGGCCAGCCTCAAGGGATTCTCCCAGCAGTCTGTCTCCAGCCCCAGGATCTTTGCAGGGACCACCCCACCTCCTACCTTCTTCTCCCCTCACTCCCTCCCTTGCCTACTTTCCTCAGCCTCTCTGACTCCCACAGCCCCTGCCCCTTACTCAAGGACATCTGTAATACATGGTACTTTTTTTTTTTTTTTTTTGCAGTACTGGTGTTTGAATTCAGGGCCTTCACCTTGAGCCACTCCATTGTGTGTGAGGGGTTTTTTTGAGATAGGGTCTCATGGAACTCTGATCTGCCTGATCTCTGCCTCCTGAGTAGCTAGGATTACAGGTGTGAGCCACTGGTGCTGGGCAATATGTAGTACTTATTGATGGAAGGATGCACTTCCTGCTGTTTTCACTAGATTCTGGGCACTGAGGACTTCAGTTCTCTACCCTGGTCTCTCAGGGGCTACCTGACCCTACAAGTGTGACCATTAACTTGTGTTTACCAAACATTACTATCTGCTACTGCTCCAGACACTTTCCTAGTGTTACCTCACCCAGTTCTAATGAGGAGCACACCCCCATAATACAGAAGAAACTAAGGCAGAGACCCAAGACCCCTCGGCTAGCAACAGGCTGAATCACCTCTGCTCCCGCAGACCCTGTTTTAACCGCAGGTTGACCCTTTTGCACCCCTCCCCTGCCCCTGGGGAACCTCCAGTCTCTTTTGGCTGACCCCTGACCTGTGAACTTGCACTGCTGTAGGAAGCCCTGCAGGAAGGGCGAGTCAGAGAAGAGCATCTGCTGCAGCCGCTCAGCACCCACATGAAAGACGGAGTTGATGACGAGCCGGCCAGAGAGGTCAGGAAGCAGAGCGGCTAGGTCACCTGGGACACATAGAGGGAGCTCACTAGGTGGGTCCTATTTAGTGAGGGTGACCACCCCTCCCCACCCCCAGGCTGGTGGGTAGATGCACAGCCCATCTTCCCTGACAGAGAGCTGGGACCAGGAGCATCACTCAGACCCTCTGGTACAAGATTGGTTTAAAGGTGGGCACATGCCCCAGGCCAGCCAATCAGAGCCACCCTGATGGTTCCAGGTGGAGCACACACTTCTAGCCAACTAGAATCATGTGATTCTAGGGGTGGGCATGATTCTGCCAGGCCAATCAGATTGGCTCCCTAGCCAAGTTGGACCAATCAGAGGCACCCTGAGGTTTTCTATAGCCACTGACAAAAGCATGCTGTCTCTGTTAGGGCTGGGAGCTGGGGCTCTGTCTGCATCCAGGAGAACAAAGGCTTCCTGAAAATTAGTTGGCACAGAGAAAATGAATATAATAACCATCCGAGAGCTTATGTGTACTGACTCATCTAATTTTCATAGCAACAGCCCTAAGAAGTGAGTATTATTAAATACTATCCCCATTTTTCAGACGAGGAAACTGAGGCTCAGGTTAATCATGTACCCATATAACATACGGAGGGTGCAGTACAGCCAGGATTTGGACCCTGGTGATCTGTCTGTGCTCTTCTTCATCTTTTCAGAGCAGAATTCGGGAAAGACGGACTTCTGACAATGCTGTCTCAATGCCATCCCTCCCACTACCCCTGCAGTTTTAGTCCCATGAGCCAATGTGTCCCCTTTCTTAACCCGCCTAAGTGAGGTTTGTCCTCTGTAACAGAAATGAAAGAACTGGGGTCCACCTGTCTCACCTTCCTCCCCTGTGGATGAAGAGGAGTTACTTGTGTCTGTCAACAACTCCTCTCTGGGCAGTAGGTCCAAGGGGCCCAGAGCAGTGGGCCCATCAGGAGGGGTGGGCTCTGCACTCAGGGGTTCTGCCACTGGGGTCACTGTCTGGCTGGAGGAGGCATCTGGCTGGCTGTCCGTCTGTTCCTCCTTGTCTTCTTCTGCCTGCAGAGAAAGTTCTTCATCCAGGCTGCTCCCTACCCTTCATCCCCAGCCTGAGGGTTCCCTGTGGGCCCACACTAGCCTCTCAAAGGCTGTCCAGGTCATGGGCAGGGAAACCAGCCCTGGGGTGGTGGCGTGTGTACCTGGAGTTCATGACTAAGTTGGGAGAGGCCCAGACATAACCCAGACGCTTGGACCACAACTTTCCTGCCTTCCAGTCCACCAATCTCTCATCCCTTCTGTCTCTCACCCATTCCAGCCATCTGCCTGCTCCCCCCTTACCTCTTTTTCCACCTGTCTCTATTCTCCTTGCCCCTCTTCCCCTCTCCACTGTCTGCTCCTTCACCCTTCTGTCCACCCCTCCCTCTAACCACCTCCCGTGCTCCCCACTCTGTCACTTGGACCCTCTCCCCGACTCTGCCCCAGCCTTCCTGTCTCTCCCCACCAGCACTCTCTTGCTCACTCCATGGTCTGCGTCACTGCTGGCTCGGGAAAGGTTGGGGGTGACTCGGCCGCGGCGTGATCCCACGGGGCTTGGCTCCTGGCTGTGGTCGGCTGCCCCTGAGGGGGTGATGTCACTGAGGGCAATCACGTCTCCTACCTCCTTGGGGCTGCTGCAAGGAGAGGGAGGAAGTGAGACCTGCTCAAGGCCCTCCTGGGGCTCCCTGGCACTATAGGAAATCTGTCCACAGCAATCCCCGCAACCATCCTCCATCCCCACTCACCCCAGACCATTCAGCTGCAGGGGGCAGACATAGTCCTCGTCCTCACTGGTGAGGCCCAGTTCCGAGCCATAACACTGATGGACCAGGTGCCACAGCTCCCGGGGACTCAGCGTCTGGGCAGGCAGGACAGGATGTGCAGTTGGCCTTACCTCACCTCACCTAAGCATCAGTCTTCAGTCCCAGCAGTTCCCCTGGCTTCCATAAGGGGGCAGCATGACCTCCCCAGCTAACCCCCCCCACCCCCCACCCCTTCAGGCCCTGTGACCTGGACTTTACACCTTGGACCCCTCAAGTCCTCACAATGCTCTGGCCAGTTAAGCTTGTCATTTTTACAGAGCACATGAAGACCCAGGAAGCAGTGCTCAAGGTCACACAAGTGACCAGGGGCAAGTCTGGTATTCAAACCCGGCCAGACTCCAGAGCCCATGCTTACAACCCCGATGCTGCCCCTAACTCTTCCTTCCGGAGTCCTCAGGAGGCTGGGATTTCAGCTGCCCACAGTGGCGAGATGCAGTAGTAATTCCATCAAGCTAGGATGTGCAGCATTGAGATGTGATCCCAGGGGGCCGCATAAAGCCTTGGAGCTAACAATTGCACTAACCAGTCTTAGACAAACTGGCATTACTGAGCCCAGTCTTGGCCCAGCTCTGGGTGGACAGTCCCCACTTCACAGGTGGGGTTCCATAACTTGCCCTGGGTCACACAGAAGCTCAGTGATGGGGCTGAAGGAACAGGATCTGGGTGTGCAAGGGGTGGTAGCCGGCACTGGTAGATTTGTGCAATGAGTACCCACCTACCACTCCCTCATGTACACTATGCCTCATGTACACTGGAGCCCTTGGCTGCCCCTGGTGGGGCCTGTAGAGAAGCCACAGGTGCTCGCGGACAAGAACCTGGGGTTCCTTCTGCTTCCTGAGATCTGGCACCCCTGGCTCCATGGTTCCTCTGGCACACCCTGACCAGTCTTATCCACACCCACCTTTTCAAGCAGCGCATTCTGCCAGAGGCGGAAGATGAGAAGGAAGCAGCGGTCCCGGGCTCCAAAGGAGGTAAAGAAATGCTGTGAAGAGAGGAGTGTGAGCGGGTGCAGGAGACAGGACAGAGAAAGGCGACACTGTCCTCACTCACACTGTCCCTATTTCCGTTTGTCTATTCCTGCACTCACTCCACAAAACATTTATTCTGTGCCCAGCCCTGTGCCAGACAAGGGGTCAGCACCAAGAGCAGGAGACCCTGGCGGGTCCTCAGAGCTTGCAGGCCAGTGTGGGAGAGGAACCTTCTCCAGACAGGCTTAGTGTGGTTAAGGCTGCAACCCAGGGCACTCTCCCAACCCCCTTTGCTGCCAAGGGTGAGCAACTGGTCCAGCTTCTGGCTGACAGGACACTAAGGGAAGTCTACTGTGACATCTTCCCCTGTCCTTCCTGCTTCCCGCTGGACCACTGATGTGACACAGCCATCTTTCCATCAACCAGACATGCAGCAATAATCAAGAGGACAACTGCCTGGTGTGGTGGCACACGACTGTACTTCCAGCACTCAGGAGGCTGAGGCAGGAGGATCTCGAGTTGGAAGACAGCTCGAGCTCAATAGTGAGACACTGCCTCAAAAGACCAAGTAGCTCAGTGGTACAGCACTGCAGGAAAAAAAAAAAAATGAAGATAACAGAATGGTGCATGAGGGGGACATGTGAGTGGCAAGAACATCTGAGTTCTGGACATGTGGGGGGAGGGAGAACCTGACAATCACCACTATCTCTGGCATCTGCAGGAGGGATCACACTCAGAGGATGGGACAGGAAGTGGGACAGAGATCCAGGTTAGAGATGATAGGAGCGTGAGGAACATGGCACAGATGGGGGAGAAATTCAGGGTATAGTAGATCATGGGTGTGCTCTGATGGGCCTTGCGGGGGGAGGGGAGCCCCCTGACATTGACAACCACAGTGGCCCCACCATTGCGCCCTCCACAGTGGTTCACCTTCTCGCTCTCCGTACAGATCTGGATGGCATTGGGGATCAGTTTGGCTGTCTTTTCCTTCTTCAGACATGTTACTTCCTTCAACTGGATGGAAATCTGAGGAAGGCAGCCAGGGTCAGAAGGAGCCGAGGCCCTGCTCACCCCAGGGGCCCTCCTGATCCTGCAAGGCTCACTGTGGTCTCCCAGCGGAAGATGTTGCTGTAGAAGCAGAGCCAGTTCTCGGAGAGATAGAGGCGGCCCTGCAGGAGAATCTCTCGCTGCAGGGCACAGGAGTAATCTGAGAGGAGAGAGGAGGGAGAGACAGGCAGACATCTGAGTCACCTGCAACCCTGGCTGTCCTAGGGCCAGTGAAGACAGCAGATGCAGATCAGGGCCGGGGCTGGGTCTGGGACATGGGGACTCACCCACGATGAGGCGCTCAGCTTCAGGAAGTTTGCTGAATAGTTTCCGGAAGTCCTCATTGCGCTGTTTGTATGTGGGGCTCAGCATCTAAGGGATGTGACAACCTGGCTGGGGCTTCTCAGCACCAATCCGGCCCTACAAAACTTCCAGATCCCCTCAGGCTTCCCAGCCCAAGGCTCTCTAAGTTTCAGTATCTAGCCTGCTTCTGGCTGCTGACATCCCAAACACAACAGCCACCATAATGACACCTGTCATTTGCCAGTCCCTGCTAGCATTATCAACCCTTATTGAAAGTTCCCTTCAGCCTTGTAAAGTAGGGCTGCATCTTAGAAAGAAAGACCCAGAGAGGTTAAGTGATTCCCCCAAGGTTCCACAGCACATAAACAGTTGCACCAGATGTGACCCTGGTTTGGTGACCAGCACCTACTCCCTGACTGCGTACAGCAGCCTGGGGCTCCTGTCCAGCAGATGGCCCCTCCCTCCCACCCCCCAGTGAGCCCCTGGCACAGATACTTACACTGTACCAGCTCTGCATCTTCTGCAAAAGAAAGAGAAGAGCCAGGATGAGCCCTGTGTCCCCCGCCCTCCCAGCCCCAGCCCCCCCCCCCCCGGTTCACACCCACCTTGCTGCTGCGGATGAAGTTCCGGCCTCCCAGGCTCTGGGTGCTTGGAGTCCCAGGTACCCCACCCTTCTCCGAGGAGCTATCTGACCCCTTCTCCACCATGGTGTTTGGTTCTGGCTCAGGTGGGGGCCGGCTTGGGGGCAAAAGCTGCAGCCGCTTCCGGAGAGATGGGGAGCTGTTTGGAGTGCTCCGGCCAGAGTGGGGCGTGGTGCTGGGCAGAGAGAGGGGGACAGGAGTGCTAGGGGGAACTCTAGGGGCAGGGACAGGCCTGTTTCTGAAGGTCCGCCACCAATCAGCCTATAGATGCCCATCTACCCACGTATGCACCCACCCATCCACTTAATTCATCAACCCCCCATCCATCAATTTACCCATTTATGCCCCCATCCATCCACCTGCCCACCCGTCCATCTATCCATCACCCATTCACTTATCCATCCACCCATCTGCCCATCCATCCATTCACCTGTTCCCACCCATCCACCCAACCACCTGACTCCACTTCCTTCCATGGCAAACCCACAACAGGTTCCCTAAAGTTCTGTGCCTGCTACCTCTCTATAATCCAGACATGAGAAATATACATCCTCATCTGGGATTTTTTGAGGGGTTGGGACTGGGCTTTGACCTCAGGGATTTCTTGATTGCAAAGCAGGTGCTCTACTCTTTAAACCACACTTCCAGTCTATTTTGTTTGGTTATTTTGGAGATGGGAGTCTCTCAAACTAGTTTCCTGGGCTGGCTTTGAACCATCATCTTCCCAATCTTAGCCTCCTAAATAGCTAAGATTACAAGTGTCAGCCACCAGTCCCAAGTTCATGTGGCTGTTTTCAGAATTAATTGAATCAATACATGGAAAGTACTTCTAACAGAGCCTGGTACAGAGCAAGCTTTCAATAATGCTTGCTATTTAAAAAAAATTTACTAATTCACTCATACAAAAAATACCTATTGAGTAGTGACTTTCTAATTGCTTGAGCTTTAAAAACCTAAGCATTTTTCTCTCCTCCACCCCTAGCAGTACTGGGGACCGATCCCACAGACTCCACTTCCCAAGTAGCTGCGATTCCAGGCATGCACCACCACACAAGCCTTAAGCATCTTTCTTTAATTTCTTCCCTCAGCCTTCATTTCTAATCTGCTGGCAAGTTCCACTGTTCCCTTACACCCGTTCTCTTGCTCCAGGCTCCATTTCCTTCCAACTGGATGTCAAGCAGCCTCTTCCCGATCTCCTACTCCTGCGTCTGCCCCCCCTGCAGCAGAGGGAGCCTGGGATCACCTGGATCCAATCAGGGTCCTCTCAGCTCCTTTGAGCCCTTCCTAGAGGCACCTTACTCCAGGTAGAGCCAAGTCCTTACCCTCATGCCCTCTCCTTTCCTAGTTGTCCCAGCCATTCCAGCCTCCTTCTCTTCCTTAAGCTCCTCCAAGTTCATTTCCATCAATGCCTCTGTACTTGTGGCTCTTTGCCTGGAATGCCCACCCACAGCCCTGGCATATCTGGCTCCATCTTATTTGCCTCTGATGCCCCTTGCTGGGTCTCCCCCACCCCCCACAGCAGTCTCTCCCTAGTCACACCCCTCCCTATCTACACACACTCTGCTCTTTTACTTAGCTCGAATGAACTTCAGGAGATCTTGCTTGCTAAGTATGTCCTTAGCCCCTAAACCTGTATGGGGCACAGAATTAACATTCAACAAACACTGGTGACTGAACGAGTAATCCAGCACTGGCTGGACATATGGTTAGTGCCCTGGGAGAGTTAACCTTCTGCTGGGGAGGCAGACGCTAAATAAACAGCACACTCAGATAACTGTGCAAACACGAACCACACTGAGGGCAGTGGGGGGAGTGTCGGGAACTTTAAAGGGACCTTCATTGTTGACAGGAGCTCTTTGCATGATTAATTTTATTATTCTTCAAACAACCCTGGGCAGTCAGTACCATCACCACCTCCGTTTTATAGAGGAAACTGAGTTTCAAAGTGGCAAACCACTTGTCAAAAGATGCACACGTGGTTTATTTCGGGGCAGGATTCCAACTTGGGGTTACTGATCTATTCTGGGGTGCAGGTGGGATCCCCTGGTTTGAAGACCAGGAGGGCTCTTCAAACTTGTTTCTCCTGCCTCCAAGCTTTGGCATAGCCCTTCCCTCTGTCCAGACATTCCTTCAAGACTCACACATGCCTTCCTGCCTGCAGGTCCCCAAAGCCCCCTGGGCAGCTGTGACATCTCTGGGCTGTCATCGTCTGATGACAGGTGTGGACTATCCCGATGGCAAGCCTTTGGGCTGCCTTGGTTCCTGCTTTGCCTCAGCCATGCTCAGGAGGGGCACAGGTGAGTCACTGACACCACCCCAGAACCTCAGCCTTGCTCTCCCTGCTCCACTTCTCTGCACCCAGTCTGTTCCTACCTGTAGCCTGAGCCCTGCGCTGGCTGCACCTCTCCCTAGTAAAACCCAAAGCTGGTTCCCCTTTGCCGACAGTATCCTATACTCCTTCTCCTCCAGCTCCTGCCTTGGCTCTTCCTTCTGCCCCAAATGCTCTTCCAAGTGTCCAGAGGGCCCTTTGTCTACCCCAGGGCCCTATTGAAATCACAATGCCCACCCCCAGCGCCCTGCTTTCTCTTTCTTTTTACCACATGTCCCTTCTGTACTTGCCCAGAATTCCCATTCTTCTCCCCACCAGACATGACCTTTCCAGTTGCCTACCACGGGGCTGGCATGCAGTGGGTGCCCAGTGGCTGAGTGAATGATGGGCTCTCTCTCGCTCCCCTCCCAGAACTTGGATTCAAGCAGGTGTGTGACTAAGCCAGATGTGGACTTGCAGTTCTCCAGGGCTTCCAGTCTGGGAGCTGCCACTTCCTGGGTGGACGTCAGTTTCCTCTGCTGCACATGGGAATATCAATAGTCCCCATCTCCTAAGGCTGCTTGGAGAAGGCACTTTGGTTTGACTGTCTTCCCTCCTACAGGGACTGCAGACTGAAATATAGTGACAGCACTGCCACCGTCCCAGCCCACCCCTGTCAAGATGCTACACTGGCCCCGACAGGCACCTCACATGCACCTTAGCTGGCGCCAGAGGCCTCCAGTCATTCTTTAAACCCACATCAAGACCTTTCTTGCAGCTGGCAGAGGGGACACAGAGTGTCCCTTGCCTGCAGGGACCTGCCATGCTAGCCCAGATCGCCAGAAAGAAAACACGGACATGAGGACAATGGCCTTGGACTGGCCATTGCTATAGAGCAGCATCAGCAGCACCATAGCACCTGGGTTCAATCCCCAGCACAGCAAGAATAAACAAACAAAAGAAATGCAGATTCCAAAACCCACTTCCAACTTCCTGCATCAGAAACTAGGGCCCAGGAGATTCTGATGCATGTTCAAGTGTGAAGACCAGAGACACAGGGTGGGCCCCAGTGAAGGGAGATGATTTCTGTAGGGAGAGAGTCTGCAAAGACCTCGCTGGATAAGGCTCATTTAAGCCAAGGGAGGAGGACAAAGAACAGATTTGGCAAAGTGTGGGAGAAGATGGTTCTAGGTATAAGAATGTAAAGTTCAGGATTAGGGCCTGACCTTGGCAGGTCTGGGGAAGAGCAAGGTGGCGAGCAGAGCCCAGGGAACCGAGGAAGACTCAGGGTTATGACATGGGCCTGTGGACCCTGGGCTTCTGTAAGAGGGAGGGGATCTGGGTAGGAGACCACACCCCTCCCCTGCCTCATCTTCTCACCTCTCTGGCCTGAATCAGACTTGCTCTATACTCCCAAGCCGCAGGTTTGGTGGCAGGGCCACGTGAGGACAGGTTCAAGGCCCACTGACAGGGCAGGCCCCACACCCCAGCTTTTGCTGTTGGGCAGGAAGAAGAGGAAGTGCTCAAGAACAGGCAGAACTCAGGGGCTGTCCAATCCAGTCAGCTGTGGCAGAGTGAAGGGAGGACCAGGAAGTGGCTGGGGGACCGTTATGGGGTGGGGACTCGGAAGAGCATGGGGTGGTTGCCACTGTAGACACCTTACCTCAGGCTTCCTCAACCTCAACCGGCCTAGGGCTGCCTCTGGTGTAACACATACACAGGCGTGCATAAAAGGGACCATCAATGAGGGTCACACACAGCCAGTGTCATAGGTATACTGCACTTGCCTACAGTTTCTAGAAATCTCTCTTTCCTCTGTCTCTCTCTCTCCTCTCAATACACATATACATCACAACAATGTCACAAATATACTATAGATACACACAGAGCTACAGAGTCCCAGAATAATTACAGACATAACTGTAGCATCACAAACATGTTACAGTCATACACAAAGTCTCAAAAAAGTTACACACACAGACAGAGGTACAGAGGGTCACATGGAGAACAGAAAGTTCTGGATAAATGCATGCACACATACAGCCATGAGAGTCTTAATAAAGTATCAAAGGAAAAAAATTCATACAGTGTCACACAGTGAAAAAATGGTCACACACATAACTCTAAGGTAAATGAAGCCATCCTACACATCTGAACTGTCCCTCTGCCCCCATGGTGCTCAACATCTGTTAGGGAAGACAAAGTAAAGGCCAGTTCTAAAGTGACAAGTGACAGAAGTTACTGACTCTAGGGCAGAGCTCCGACACACAGCCACGAAGGACTTAGCAATAATGCAGCTCCTGGGAGTGGGGGAGGTGTGGACACTGCTTGAAAACACAGTGGCCAGACACCAAGTGACGCACAGGACATGCTTTACCCACCGTGACAGGGAGACAACCTCCAGAGTCAAGGTTACACCCAAGGTCTCAGGAGAGAGGGTCTGAGGCCCACAGAGAGCCACAAGGGGCCTCTGTCTCGATTTTAAAACACAAAGCCATAACGGGTCTCAGCAGCACACAGAAAAGCCCAGGCACATACAACAGTGTCACAAATGAATTCACACAAGGACTTTCCCACAAAGATGGAATCAGAGGTGAATTAGGGCCACAGCCAGAGGGTCACAGCCACACACACAGAGCCCCAGACACACAGCAATGGATACATACAGGCCACTTCCATTCGCACAGAGCTGAATGAACATTTCAGAGGTAAATTATACACACATAGGAGCACAGAGGGTCATGGTGGAACACGCAGAGCCCCAGCCACTTGTACACATGCTACAGTCACAATGGGACATACACTGGTTATTCTCGGTGACACTTGGAGCTACAGATGGGACTTCATGGTAAATTACATGCACACACAGCCAAACAGGACTAGAGCACGAGACACGTCAACACACACCAAGTCATAATCAGACATAATTTGCATTTGCACACGGAGTCACAGATGGAATGAGCACATTGTACGCACAGGACCACGGTGGGTCCCAGACCCTCGTTCGTTCCCAGTCAGACACACAGGTAAGACGCAGAGCCACAGAGGGGACTTCACGGCAAATGACACACATACCCTCCCACCCCACCCCCCGCAGAAAAGGCTCACAGCTGCTGCACAGAGGCTGCACAGAGGCGGAGAGCCCCGGACAGACCTACAGACACCTCCTGGCTATGGTGGGAACCACGCTTGCAGCACGCGGGGGCACACAGGAGTGGGAGGTCACTTCCACGCACACACAGCGTCTCAGGCATGCGGTCCTCGGCCACCCAGAAGCCCCCATCCCCATAGCCCCGGCAGACAAGGGGGTGGGAGGGGGCGCCGACGGGAGGGGCTGCTCGGGCCTGCGCGGCCTGTGGGCCGGGTTGCGGCGGCGGGGGGTGGGGGGTGGGGGCTGCTGGTTCCGGTTCTCCCCTCCATCAGGGGCCATGGACCCCGGCCGGCCTCGGGGACCGGGCCGATCCAGGCCAGGGGGCCCTCCCAGGGCCGGGACCACCGGAGCTGGGCTCCCGCCGCCGTCTGCGCCCCAGCCCCGGAGCGCCCCGGCCGCCCCACGTGCACCGGTTCGGTGACCCGCTCGGGCCGCCCCCTCCCCGGCCGCGTCGCCTTCCTCCCTCCCTCCCGATCCCGGCGGCGGCCCGGTCCTTACTCGAACATGGATGCAGCGCGGCGGGCGCGCCCGGCCGCAGGGCAGGGCCGGCAGGGTAGGGCAGGGCAGGGCGCGGGGCTGGGCTAAGCTGGGCGACCCCGCGGGGCACCGGCCTCGCCTGCCTTGGCCGCCGCCCCCACCCGACCCAACCCGACCCGACCCGACCCGCCGCCCGCACAAAAGGCCGGAGCCGCCTCGGCCGCCGCGGCGTCAGCGACTCGGCTCCCCGGCCCCGCCCCGCGCGTCACGGCGCCGCCCCCCGCCGGGAGGAGCGCGGGGACCCGCGGCGGCCTAGCCGGGGACCGAGGCCGGAGCGAGCCGGGCTCCGAGGGGGGCGCGGGAGGAAAGCGGGCGGGGAGGACTTGGGTAAAAGCTAAACACCGCGCCTGGGCCTGGCGGGGGCTCCCTCTCCCTGGCGCCCAGCAAAGGGTCCCCAGCTCCGCTCCCGCCCCAGGCCCGGATCCCCCACCCCGCAGCGCAGCGGGGATCTGAGGGCTGGGGCTGCAGGCAGGTGCAAGCGAGCCGAGGTGTGAGTGGGTAGGGGGCAGCCGGGGGTGGCGCCCCAAGGCCTTGTCCCTCCTCCCCCCTCCCAGTTGCTGAACCCCACTTTCTGGCCCCAGGAGCTCCCATGGCCTCTGGCTGTGGGGACTTCATCGTCCCAGCCCTGCCCCGCCTCTTATGTGTGCAGTGACCTTGGGCAGGCACCCCAGACCCCGGGATCCCACTAACTGTGGCAAGGACGCCACCTCCCCCGACCTCGGTAGCGCAGAGGCGGCCTCAGCAGCGCTCTTAGAGACTGGGGAAGCCAGCCTGGCATCAAAGATGGTAAGTGACTTGTGGAGGCTGCAAAGTGCAACGGGCTCTTGCTCTGAGCCATAGCTGACACCCACGTGGTTCTGCAAACCACGGTCTGCATCCTGCACTTCTTGCCTAAGAACACAGAAATGGAATCCTAGCTTCTGGGACCGGATGTGCCAGAGTGCCACCCTTCCAAGGGGGGCTGTCCCTGCCTCTTTTGGGAAAAAAAACAAAAACAAACCAAACTCCATTCCTATTCCTCCCCAGCCCTTAACACCCCCCCACCCCTAACTTTATGTTGGTGGATGGTAGGCCTCAAACCTCTGGGTCTTCCTTGACACCTCTCTCTCTCTCTCTCTCTCTCTTCTCTCTCTCCCACATCCAGTCTCAAAACCTTGTCAGCTCCACCTACAAAGTCTACCCATAATCTTACATCCTGCACTGCCTCCGCTCCAGCCTCCTGGCGGGGACCTTCCCACCAGCCTCCACTCTGGTCTACTGCTCCCATCCCTGCCCCAGTCTGTTTCCACCTGCAGCCAGAGAGCCCGTGAACACCTGAGTCAGGCCAGGGTCCTCATGACTACCTCATTCCAGGTAAAAAGCAAAGTGCTCACTTTGACTTCCAGGACCGAGTGATTGGGCACCTCACCTCTCTGACTTTACTACCTCTTCAGTCTCCCTGTTACTCAGCCCCCCCATTCCTCTGACTCACCAGGCACATTCCTACCTCGGGACCTTTGCACTTGCTATCCCTTCTGTACTAGAAAGCTCTTCCCTCAGTTCTTCTATGGCTGCCTCCTATCCTTAGATGCCCAAAAGACCCTCCTTCTACCATCTGGGTCCCACTGCTCTCTTTATATTTCTCTTTGCCTGTTTTTTGTCTTTTGAAAAATCTTTTCTTTTGATACAAGGTCTCACTACACAACCTACACTGCTCTCAAACTTGCAACCCTCCTGCTTCAGTCTCCCAAGTTCTGGTGATAGAGGCATGCCCCACCACACCTGGCAACTTTTAAGTAGGGAATATTTATTTCAAACAGGAAAAAGTATAATGGCTGTCTGTGTCCCTGACCTGTATGCAATAGATAGGAACATTTGGTCATTTACTTAGGGTTTTTTTTTTTTTTAATAAATAAATAATTCCAGCTACAGCCAAAGGCCCAGCTCCTCACTGCCTCCCCCACTTCTCTGCCTGAACACTCCAAGGTACCCACTACCTTGAAATCAGCCCTGTGTCTTTCTCATGCAATTTTCTATCCCATTTTTACATCAGGGAACATCCACCAACAATATTTCCTGTGTCTTTGAAAACGATACACACATAGGCTCCTGCTGTAGCAGGACACAGAGCTCTTCTTCATAAACATTTGCTGTTATCGAGCATCCATTGTTGGAAGAAACCACAGTGCATATTTTTTTTTCAGGGCCAGTATAGTTCTTTCCTTTCTCCCTCCTGTGCCCTTGAACCACCCAGTTCCTGTCTCCTTGGGCTAGAGGTGGTGTTTCTTTACAGAAGTTTTGTTTAAGCTTTTTGTTTTTGGCCAGTGAGCTACAGCAGGAAATACCTCTTGCATCCGGCATACACTTAGAAATCTATGTCATGTCACAGAAGTTGCAGGAAACCTCACTGTGCCTCCTACGTGGTGCTATTTTCTTATCCTTTCTTTTTTTGTGGGACTGGGGTTTGAACTCAGGGCTTAATATTTGCAAAGCAGGTGCTGTACAGATTCAGCTGCACCTCCAGTCCATTTTGCTCTGGTTATTTTAGAGAGAGGGTCTCGAGAATTATTTGTCCAGGCTGGCCTTGAACTGAGATCCTCCTGATCTCAGCCTCCCAAGCAGCTAGAATTATAGGTGTAATTGGCAGGTACCTGGTGTGGCTATTTTTAATTCTATCCTGATTAGTTTAGAAACACAGTGCTGGGGTGGCCCAAACAATGTATACACTTATGAATAAATATAAAAACAATAAATAAAAAAAAAGAAACAGTGCTGGTCACACTGGTCCTATTAGTTTCATGGCACTTATGTGGTTCTGAGCTACAGTTTGAAAACCACTGGGTGGGTCAGAGGGGGTTCCTTGCCAGTATTGCTGGGGTGCTCAGTTGAGCCCATAGTTGACTGTCGCAGTGCACACTCCTGGGGTTGGTTTGTGCAACCACTTCATGACTTGTAGTCAGACCCCTGTGGGGTTGAGGTCTAACTGACCTGCACCCCCTGCCCCCACGATAGCCACAAGGAACCCACCCTTGAACACAAGTCCCTAGGGAAGCCAAGACAGAGACCCTCTCTCCCATGCCACCTCCCGGGCCTGACCTGTCCTGGAACAGACTCTCCAGGTCTGGAGTCCTCAGACTCTGCAAGCGCAGGGCTTTGGGGGTGCAGGGTGGTGACCCCCCATCGCTGGAGGGGGGGGTTATGCAAATGGTGGGCACTTCCAGGTAACGCCAAGGCTCACGGGCCAGGCCTTGGGCACCATCACCCTGGGCCTGCGGCTCAGCTGGGGGAATAGGTGAGTCCTGGGCCCCATCCTGGGCCCCTGGGAGTGCCCACGGCAGCAGGGGCAGGAGCTCAGCCATGAGGAGGGGTCAGGTTATCGGTGTGGTCCCTGGGGGAGAAAAAAAAAAAGCACAGCTTGGGGGGTTACAGCATCCTTCTCTCATGACCCTCAGTTTCTTCTTCTGCACCCTAGAGGTCGTGGCACAACATCCCAGGGTGGCTGGGCAGTGTCAGAATGCTTGCCCTTGCAGAGTACCCAGCCTTGGGCTAAAGTGCCCAGGAAACATTTGTTCCTGTCCCTAGGCTGGGAGTATTCACTAAGGCCTTCCCTGAGTGTTCTGTATTGTCCACACAGATCCAGGAAGGGACCAGGCCAGACCGGCCCCAGAGGCCTCAGGCAGAGTTAATGACTGGCTGAGCCCTGAGAGGCAGCTTTCAGGACTTCTCTTCCCTGTTTGCTCTGCAATTTCCCCGCCCAAGACAAACAAAGGCCTGGTGGCCCGAGGCCTTCACGGCCTAGGAGGAAGCCAGGTCAAATCCTGAGGCAGCTGTGATGTTACAAGCCACCTGGGTTTGGGGAGGCCAGACCAGAGCCGGCCGTCCTCATAGCAGACCACGGCAAGGGCTCCTTGGAACCCAGCTGCCCAGGGAGTAGGGAAGGAGGGCCTCCGGGAGTCAGGGAAGGCTTGCCCTGGTTTGGGAAGACCCTGACCCTTACTGGCCAGGCCTGGACCTCACCAGACACTGTAGGACCTTAATACTCCTACCTTATGGAGTTTTCCTTCTTCTATTCTGAAGGGTTCAGACTTCCAGGATAAGGACAGAAGACCTGGTCCTTTCCTGTCAAAGTCCCCACTGGGCCAGAGAGGTATGACCTTCAGGCTGAATAGCACAGAGCTGGAGTCATGTTACCCTCTGGCCAGCTGTTCAAGGGAGAAAGGATAGAGAGGTGGGGGTGGGGTGTGTGGTAAGGACTTGGTCCACCTCATCCTTCCCTTTGTCACTGCCCCATTGAGGAAAGGGCTCTCCTTGCCCTAGGTTATAGGGTTGGCCTGCAGTCAGCCAGAACATAGCGTCTGCCTCAGAACCGATCCTCCAAGTTCAGCGATCACCTCAGTGACCAAACCCAACACATTCACCGTCCTCATTTTTCTGTTCTGACCTTAGCCCTGAACCCAGGAGACTCTTCTTCCTGTGAGGTGCTTGGCCTCTGCTATGTTGAGCGTTCTGGTTCCCCTCAGCTCTGACTGAGAGCCACATCTCACTCCTGTCCCCTCTACCCTGTCTGTAAGCACTGGAATTTCCCATGGCTTACATTGGGCACTTTCTCTTCCTTTTCCATTTTTATTACATAGTAACTGATGAGTACTAAAGGATGCTTGTATCATAGATGT